TGAGGTGCCCTGGACTCTCTCTGTGTGCCCGGCGCTGGTGCGGCCATGCTCGTACTGCCCTTTTGGCCCTTCTGGGCGACTGCTTTCCGGGAACTCAGGTGGGAGGGATCCTCTGAGTTGCTCCTCTACTCCTTTGCTTCGGCCTGCTGCCTCCGCCTCTTCCTCTCGTCTCCCAGGTTCCCCCCGTCTTTGACTTACATAACAAGTCAAGCATGCCACACACCACGCATTGCGCTGCCAAGGGCCCATTTCCAAAACCTCAACTCCATGCCTACCAGTATTCAACTTGATCATTAACTCATACACGCCGGTGGTTTGGCATTTTTCTCCCCTGGAGTTGCTCCCACTAATCTGGTTTTTCGTCTCCTTGTCTTCAGTTTCTAGTTTGTTCATCTACGCAACGTCTCAGTCGGCTCCCCGCGCATCTTTGTCATTCGTTCCCATCCGGCACACCGAGGAGGAAAACATAACCAGCCCACATTCAACGACCGCTTCCTGTCCCCTTGCCTCCCTCACAACGGAGAAACACCTCGCACGAACACCCAGGCCAGAATCTTGTCTTCTCTCTTGTCCATGTCCTAGAAAAAACTTCTGTGTCAACAAAAAAAGAAGGGGTCCATAGGGCTTACGCAACAACAATAATATAGTCGGACCAAATCTGCCTGCCATTCGACACTCCTGCGACAAGAAAACATTCGGATACCCGGCTGTCTAGCTTTCGACGATTCAATGGCAGCCACGACGGCTCCGACACCGCCCGCCATGACTCCGACTGCAAGCCCGAACCATCTTCGAAAGCACATTTCCCCCGAGCGCCTTACTTTGGGCGACGACGTCGGCCGCAAATCGGTGTCGGCAAGAATTCGGGACGCTCCCGCTTCTCCTGTCAGGGTGAACTTTCAAGCCGAGAACTGGGCCCAGCCATCCAATGCGAACATTGAACTGGCACAACCCTACCAAGCAGAGTTTTCTACAGTTGATCGTTCCCGAGAATACAACGCCCCTACCCCTCCTTCGCATACCTCGGCCTACGACCAGGCTGGACGACAAATGCAAAGCCATGACAGGACGAAGCTGCCTCCCCTCAAAACCTCGAACTCCTACACTGCCGAACCCGATTACCTGAGTCCAGCGAGCTCCCTGACTCCCAACCACAATGGCCACGATCAGGGTCACAGGCCAAAGGGGGGGACCCAGGGGTCGGACAGCTTCAGCGCTCACAGCGCAACAAGAGCTCAAGATGCCAACCGCCACAGTCGGGAATCGAACACCACTACCTCAAGCAACGCCCAACAGCAAGCATCGGCACAGTCCTCCGCGACAACGAGCGCGAGCTCCGTCTCTGGCATCAACGAGTCATCTGAATACAAAGATGAGTCTCCCGAGAGCTCGATCATGGAGGGTAACTTGCCAGAGAACAACTCTGTCCCCATGTTCCAGTACTACCACCACCAGGAGTACCCTCCCCAGCGAGTTTCGAGTGTTCCCCAGGAGCTTGATGCTCGTCGTTCTTCTTCGAACCCCAGTCTCAACGCTGACGGAACCCCCATCAACCGTCATCTGACACCTACCGGGTTTACCAGAAGGACCTCCATGCCGCGTCCTTCGTCAGCCTACTCTGCCATCTCGGATTATGCCCCGAGAGGACGATCCCCAAATCTGATGCCCGGAGGATCACATATGCGGACACCGTCAGGCACTCGCAGGTCTCCAGAAACAAGACCAGCATCATACGCAGAGTTATTGAACGTGCCGTACCCTCAGCCAGCACCTGCGCCGATCAGCTTCGACAATAACCAGTTGCGCAATGCCGTTGGCAACAATGCTTCCCTCCTCGGAGCCCAAAAGACACTGGAAATGTACCGCCAAAACGTCAAGAAAACGAATGATTTTTCCATCCAGTACTCTTTCGCAGTTTTCCTCATCTCTACTGCCCAAGAGCAAGGCCTAGACCCCAGTGAGCCAGCTCCTCGCAAGGCGAACTCAAGCCCAAAGAACTCCGCGGCGTCAACGCCCTACGACCTCCTGCGAGAAGCAAAGGGTATTCTACAGAAGCTAGCCAGCGGCGGATACCCCTTCGCTCAATACTACCTCGCAGACGGGTACGCCTCTGGCCTGTTTAGCAAAGGGAAAGAGGACTATAACCAAGCATTCCCTCTCTTTGTCCTCGCTGCGAAGCATGGCCATGCCGAGTCTGCTTACCGCACGGCGCTATGCTACGAGTTTGGTTGGGGTTGCCGCAAAGATCCTGCCAAGGCTGTCCAGTTCCTCCGCATGTCTGCGTCAAAGCGTCACCCTGGCGCCATGTCTCGACTCGGCAAGGCTTGCCTATCAGGTGATTTGGGAGAGAAGCGATACCGCGAGGGTATCAAGTGGATGAAGCTCGCAGCAGAGGCTGCTGATGCCGTCTACAGCGCAGCTCCGTACCAGCTGGCTTGCTTGTACGAGACGGGATACGGCGACGACATCTTCAAGGATGAGGTATACGCAGCAGAGCTTTTTACTGCCGCGGCAGAACTTGGCCACCCAGAAGCAAACTTCCGCATGGGTGAGGCATACGAACATGGGAAGCTCAGCTGTCCTCGCGATCCCGCACTAAGCGTGCACTTTTACACTGGTGCTGCCGAGCGAGGACATGCAGGTGCTATGATGGGCCTCTGTGCATGGTACATGGTCGGCGCTGAACCGATCTTGGAAAAAGACGAGGAAGAAGCTTACGAATGGGCTCGCCGTTCGGCCGAGATGGGTAAGTTGGGAGACTTCTGCAAAACACTGACTGAGCAAGTTGACGAGGCTAATCATTACTGGGTAGGTTACGTCAAGGCGCAGTACGCTGTGGGCTATTTCACAGAAATGGGCATCGGTTGTCGGCGTGACATCTTGGAGGCCAATGTTTGGTATGTCAAGGCTGCGGATGCAGGTGACGAGCGCGCGAAGCAGCGATTGGCGATCATCCAGGCAGCTGTCAGTGGCGGTACCCCGATGGAAGTTGCCCCTCCTCGCAGTGGGAAGATCAAGAAGGGCGCCGAAGAGAAGGACAAGGACAAGGATTGCATTGTGATGTGAGGAGTTCCCCAAGGAGCAGTATCCACGGAATCATTCCAAACCACATCGGCGTTGGGCAGGAGGTCAAGAAAATTCAACTTCACTAATAATGATGAGGGGCGCCTCTATTTTCGGAGAATGTTCAAGGGCCGACTTTTGCCAACATTACTCGACTGTTGGATAACGGACAAGGCCCGCGTCAATTGGCATATCACCGGTTTTCTTCGTTTTCTCGCACCCACGGGCATCTACAAAAGGGGATTGGAATTGCGGGCTGGTGTTGACAGGATGCAGTGCGGCAAGTCGCTGCGCATTGAGGCAAGGGGCTGATTGTTTTGCCTCTTTGCATGTCTGTCTCTTTGACTCAAGACTCTTCATCTTCCTCTCTCCCATTACATTTCCGGTCTTTTCGTTTTGTTTCTGGTCCTTTTTTCATCCAAGGCGGGGGCTGTCATGAAACTGCATTTGCATAGCATGGGAACCCGGGCATAAACGGGTGCTTCATGATCTAAACATGATCGGAACTTCTAGCCTGGGAACTCCATTGAACAAGGCGTCTGGAGAGGGGGGAATACGTTGCGATTGAAGACAGATAAGAGTTGCGCAGGTGTGTGCACGCCTGGCTGAGCTTTCAGAGGAGCCTGTACATACGAGATACCATAATCCCCTGTCTCGGACAGGCGTTATTGAGCTTTGAAATTTGGTGCTTGATGAGTGACTGTGACGAGACGATAGCGTTCGTGGTGGTTGTGGCTTGGTTTCTGGTTGATCCCGGCTTTAGGCGTCTCGTTCATTGAGGTTCGAGACAGGTTTTCCCTGAAAAGACGTCGCACACCTGCGTTGCGTGTTCGTCTGTACTCGGCCGATTTCTGTCTGCCTCGTTTTTTATTTATTTTTTTTATTTTTTATTTTTTTGCCACGGTGATCCAGAATCCGGACCAGTGTCGGAGGTTCCTCTTCACACTCTATTGTGGATCGTCGCCGTTGCGTACACACACACGTATTTCGTGTTCGCCTTTCAAGGTCTCAAGTTTGACGTGTGACGTGCCAAGACAAGATTGACTCAATGTAGGCCCGATGAGAGGCTTTGAGGAGGACTTTTTGTTTGGCCTACTTATCCCAGCCTCATCTTCTCTTTCTACACTGATATCATGTGACATGAGGATGGAAGATTTCAGGGATGAGGTGCCGAATTGGGTTTGAGGCGTTGAACCTGTGGTCTTTGCTTTCCAACTTGGGCTGATGAGACTGTATGAGACTGTGGTCTTTGCTCGATGGTCTCACGTCAGAGATGTGTCGAAAAAGCTTGGGGCAGCACCGATTTTGTTGCCTCGTCAGCTGTTATCCTTCTTCTTGGCGTTTTCTTCGGATTGTGGGAGGAAACGCGTAGGCTGAGGGTGGCTTGGCGACGTGTTCGGGAGAGTGAGAGAGAGAGGATTTGTTTGCGACTTGCGACGTGGTTGAGACTTGGTCGTTTGCACAGGGTGAATGTTTTGTGTTAAAAACTCTTTCGCATGTCGTTTGTTCCTGAGTTGCTTGGGTTTCGTTTGTTATGTATGGTAGTTTGTGTAGTCAGGTTTTGTCACTCGTGTGGTTTGGGTGTTTCGAGGGTGTCGTGGTGTGTTTGGAGTTGGCGCTTGCGAGGTGATCTCCAGAGCTCGAGTAGTTTTCTTCCACACCTGCATCAGCACAATTCATCAATACTATCAGGAATGGCTCCAGGAGCGAAATATGCCTTCGATTATTCCCCATATCTGCTCTTGAGGTAGGTCGATTTTTTATCTTTGTAGTTTCGAGGTATATTACCGATGCTAGGAGCCAGGCAATGACGAACCCCTCCAGAAGTCACGCAAAAGCCAGGCCTGTTACGACGCTCAGGAGGTTTCCAACTTGCAACCTCAAGATGAACCAGTGAAACACGGAACTTGTAAGAAGAAGCTCTTTGACTATTCTACCTACTGCTTGACGTAAAAGGACTTCAGATACTCTTCCGCCGCGGCCTCCCCCAAGGCGAGCCCCTGATCTTTCGCCCACTTCTGGTACTCTGGCGTTTTGAAAAACTCCTTGTAATCAACACCTCCCTCCTGATCTACCCAGCTGAACTTCCCGTGTTCATCCAAGAAGTTTCCTATCGATGTTCATCAGCAATGGTCGACTTCATGCTGAAATTTTCTGAGGATGAGGAGAGAGACGGGCGTTTGCATGCCGAGAACTCTGTGGACGTACCGTAAATCGGATGTTTTGTGTTTATTTAGATTGTTCTTAGCCATGATTTATACACTGATTTCAGTTGTACTCACCTGTGAACTGAGATATGGAGGTAGCCTTTCTCACGGAATGCTCCGAACCCCAGTCCATCAACTGCGACCAGTCAGCACAGGTACGCTCGACGCCATCCCAGTTGATGACTGAGTGGAAATCATGGAGAGTCCAGTGAAGAAGCACGGGCGTCAGGTCTGCCTGGCATTTCACAGACTCCATGATGTGGTGGAGGCAGTGTCCTGTGGCAAGTTCGGAGTTAGCTTTGAGTTCCCTCTTATATTTAACCACCAATGCCAGCAGGCTCCAGTCCGGGTTCAGGCACGCATTGTCCCGAGACTTCAACCAACCTATATGACTCTTCTGAGTTGCATCCTCCTTCTCTGTGGTATTGGAAGTGTAGTAGTAGTCTCTGTGCGCGACCTGGTATAGGTAGTTCTGACGTAAACAGGAAGCTTTAGTCTTTGACACGCCGCCGTAAAGGGATAAATTGCGAGGATCAACCTCGATACTCACGATGCAGTGCAGGTTATGCACCATGGCAAGACCTCCGAGGCTTCAAACAAAGTCAGTCAGATCATAATGTCAACAACCAGGCTACTTCTAGATGCTTGACTTACTAGCCGCCTTCCCCATCGTTGAAAGGTATCGCATCTGCTTCCATACCAAGGCGGCGTACCTCGAGCTCCGGAATTCGGTTGGCAAACGCTACGATGATTTAGTAAATGATCCTCGAATTCCTACAACCTTTGGCGCAAAATGGCTCACCTGAGAGCAGTGCAGACCAGTTTGCATCTACCTCTGGGGTCGGATTGCCCAACAGTGGGTGGTCATGACCTGGCGTCACTGGATTTACGAGCTGCGGGTTGAACTCGACCTTGTCCTGGAAGGGGGACCGTTAGTAAAAGAATAAAGAAAGGACAAGAAGTGCTTCAAGATCCTTCCACATACCCACACATGTACCGTGTCTGGTGTCGTTAGTCGAGGGCAAAATGGTTTGTAGATGACTTCTTGGGCGTAGTAAAGGACTGCCCAAGTATACGTTGCTAGAGCGAGGAGTACGGCAAGTATCTGGAGTGCTCTCCTAAGCCTCGATGTGCCTCTACTTGAAGACCATTTTCCCTTATCCAGTAGGTATTCTTCGTGGTCGTCGTCGGTCTTCACGTCCTCGAAAGCACCATCAGAGACTGGCTTGTACTTGGCTGAAGGTGCTGCAGGCATATCTTCTGTGGTCGGTGTTTCTAAGTGCGCTGCAGGCAACAGGAACACTAGTCTATGAAGAATGTGTAACCTGATCAATGGAAAGTATAGAAGTTCGTGCTTCTACGGAAGGGGGAGCGATTTCAAGCTGAACGAGGCCGGCCTGCCGTGTCTCAGTGTCTATTCTGAAAGCATATACAGGCTGTCTACTAACCTCTGGGCAGAGATACCTGCTAAATCTCTCGCTTCTTGGGAATAATCTAAGAGAAACCCCTGGTGTTGAACTAACAGGATGCGAGAAATTCTTCCACCGGATGCGAGCCATATGGTGAAAGACCCAAAAGATAGAGTTCGTCAGATTTCAGGTGGCCATGCTTGGGTGACTAAAGGGCAGTCACTTCATGATACCGGAGTGGGGTGTATCCTCACGTCAAGGTTTATCGACACCGGATGGAACGTTGATTATGAATCCTTGTATCATTAACACAACCCAAGACTAAGTTCTGTCTCCTCCGTGCCGTTAGTCTGATCTCCAAGTCTAAGTGTGGGTTCAGTGGATGCTGGTCTTGCTGGAAGGGAACGGTGAACCCGCCTTCGATAGCCGGTCGAGTTGGAGCCGACTGCCTGGGCAGTCTTCCCCCGTCATCTTTGCCTGATTTGACTAATGCCGACCTCTCCGCCACTACGGCTTTCTCCAGAGGGTTCCTCTTATCTCAATTAAAATCAGACTCCAGATTTACCACATGTGCTACTCGCTGCCACACCCAGGCTTGCACACTTCCACATTCTTTACAGCATGTCTTCTCTTGCCGAAGACGCGAAGCCCTTCTTGACGAGTGAAAGCGGTGAATCCAGCTTCGACTTGGCCCCGGCCGAGAGATCGAGATTGCAACAAGACCGATCGAGTGGGCCCGGCTGGCGGAGGAGACTCTGGCTCAGCCATGTGATCTTCTTGGGATTCAACGTCGCGTTTCTCATCTACAACATAGGCGATGTTGGGAAACACGTAGGGCCGGAGGCTGCGGTGCTCGAAAGAGCTTACTGTGAGGAGCTTTTCCCTCCGCCTGATACCATGATTACGCGAGGGTACTAACATCTAATCTCATAGCACCGGCGCAGATGGCTATTAGTTATACAGTCAAAGAGGAAGCCCCCATGTTACCCGACAACTTGCTCACTGGCCCACCCGGCCCTGAAGCTGACAAGGCATGGGAGGAGCTTGAAAAACGTGAGTTCCATCGCCACCAATCGATATCGACTACATCAGATTCTAAATAGAGTTGTGAAGCATTCATGCTCAGGTTCTCCGAGGATGAGATGGACCGGATGCAGAAGACATCGCTCGCTCTCAAAGACGGAAGTGGATATATCGGTTATCTGGAGTCCTTCCATATGCTCCATTGTGTCGTAAGTGGCTTTATCTTTGAAGATCTCATGTTTGTTCCTGAAAACAGCCACATCTTCTTCGCTGTCGCATTACTGACTTGCCGACAGAAGAGTGCTTGGAAGTCCCAGTACATGGATCACTACGGCAGCGGACATTCGACCAAGCCTGGCCACCTAGCTCATTGTCTCAATGTCCTGATCCAGGGTATCATGTGCAACGCAGACATATCGATCGGAACATATCATTGGAAAGAGGGCGGTACCATTAAGGGGAAAGAGATGATGGACATTGAAGCTAACAGGACCGGGCATCGCCAATGCACCGATTTTAGCAAGCTCCAGGCTTGGGCTGAAAAGCGGACTCTCGATTTTGATGTTCACGACACTGACAAGTTTCTGCGTACCTTGAAGCCGGAAACCTAAGCTTTGGTATCATCGTTGCTGGGATGTGGGATATGGAGATTCGGGCGGAGTGAAGTCAAGATACCTTCGGTGATGGCCCAAACGCTATGAAAGTAGTCGCTGTAGCTACGTTCCACATTCACATTAAAAAGAGCGGACCGCTCTAGATTATGAGATTATCTTTACGCTCTCTTCTTTCATAGACCGCAGTCACTGGGGCTTGTAAATTAGATACGCTGACCAAAATACAGCTATGCTGGCTAACCGAAAGATCCATGCAACACTGTCCTGAACGGCGAGACCTTTCAGAACTGCCAAGAGGACTGCGCAAAGTAGAGTTGAGCCAATTTGAGGCAAAGATATTGCCATATTGTGTAGCCCCAGAATCCATGCGACCTCGCTGTCTTGCTTCCCCACGGATAGCTCAGAGATTTCTGCACTGATTAAGGCAAACGGCGCCCACATCGTTACAGCGGCCGTAGCCCCCATCATGGCGACCACGATGATGGCTGTAGCGCCGTTGCGAGTGACAAAGGTGAGATGCATGCAGTATCCTAGGAAGCACTGTGATGCAAGCCAGACTCTGGGGAGGTTGCGGGAGAAGGCCGGCATGACGTGGTCGAGTAATTGAAGCAAAACACTCGCAGCAAAGGACCCTAGTGCGAAAGCGAAGGAAGCAAAGAATCCAAAGTCCTTTGCACTTTCGACGAGTTCTCGATCGGGATGTCGTAGCTGTCTTTGACTTTGCTCGAGTTTGTCAGAGAGGGCTGAGATGTCAGTATTAGAAGCACCGCCAAGATTCGGAATATCTACCTGTCTCATAAGCGAATCTGATTCAAGTCCACGAGTTAGCAACTTGGTGCATCAAATGTAGGTAGAAGCTGGGAACTTACGTTGACATGTAGTACAACACGGGGAACCATCCTGCCCACGCCCAGAATTGGATCTCGCAGACCCGGCGACTGCGCGGAGGGATCTTGTTCCACCGTTTGGCGAGCCCTGTCGGTGAGATGATGGACCATGACCGTCGTGCAAAAGAGACCTGGCGGCCGCGCGGGGTTGTGGCGTCCTGATCAGTGATGAAATAGCACGTGAGACTGACAGTCGTGAAAGTACAAGCTGCAACTGCAAGAGCGAGTATCTTGAACCGCGCGTTGCTGTTGGCACCAGTCAAGGACCACTGGGCATCCACGAAGCCGATGGAAGAGAGCACCACGTTTCCCAGCACGTTCCATCGCATGGCCCAGGAAGCCGCGACAGTTTGTTGACTTGGAGGGGAGTTATCTACTATCAGAGCCCTCACGCCGACTGCGTATGTCTGCAGTGCGAACGTGGTAACAATTACACAGAAGACTGCGAGAACTTGCGTCGGTAAGTGCGCCGAGTTATCAGAAACGTCGGAACTGAAACTCCATGTCCAAGCTGTGAGCTCTTCGGAGTGCGCCAAAGCTAGCAGGAAGATAGTTGCGCAAAGCGAACCACCTACGATGAACGGCTTCCTCCTACCCCAGGTATATTGTGACTCGTCACTGAGCACACCGAGAATAGGCTGCGCAAAAGCGCCGGATATAGGACCGGTGACCCATACCAAGGAGATGATGGATTTGGGGATGCCGAGCGAGATTAGATAGGGCTATGGGCTGTTTGTCAGTCGCACAGCTGGGGTTGGGTTGGGAGGAAAAAAGAAGACTAACAGTGCCGCTTGATGTTAAGAGAAACCAACACACTTGAAGGCCTAGACTAGGAAACGTGAGGAGGAGTAAGCCTGAAAGCTTGAGTGAGTTGTGCTTCTGGGGGATTTCCTCTCCAAGCTCTGCCAACTCAAGGTCCTCCGTACGAGACGCGGATCCGGAGGAATAGCGAGCCCCAGAAGTAGACTCGCCCATAGTGATACGGGGCATTTGCTGTGCGAACAGGAGGAAGTGAGTGACGCTGCCTACTAGTACTGTTCCATAGTGTTGATCGGACATACGTGAAAGAGCTCAGCAATGATTTGTTATACAAAAAGATATCAGCATGCCCTGCTGTCGCCGAGTCCTCGACGGGAACCGCTGCCTTTCCGGTCTGAAAGAGCCATGTACTTTCTGGCTTTGGTCATTTAGATACATTGCTGCGGAACGCCCCGGCGGCACCGGCGTGCTGAGTCGGATGCACGGGATGGATGTCCTTGCAGGGTGTGAAGTGTAACTTCTCACTTTCGTTACCTCTTCTTTTTCGTACACGTATTATGCACACCCATGCGGGCGGGTACCATGTAAACTCTGTTTATCAACCGAGTTCCTTGGCCGTTCTCGCCGACGAGCCACCCTTGTCAGGATCAGCACAGTGCCTGATGAATGGGGCTGGACACAAGGTTGAAATTTTGTTATGAATGATATGTACAATATGGCTTGGCGGGGAGGAGGAAGTTGCTAATCGAAGAAGCGGTGGTGCCAATGGTCTTCTTAGGTCCCAAGGTAAGTGGCCCGCCAAATTTGCCATCCATCAAGCATCACTCTTACATGGCACGTTATTCCGAACCAACATACGACAGCTATCGCTAAGGTACTCATATCACAGAAGTTAGAGTCTGACATCTCAGTATGTCGGATGGTCACGCACCGGTAACCTGGTCTTCTCTACCACGAAAGGACCAGCTTTTCCTCTTGTTCATGATCCGCTTCAGTGAACCTGTCGTCAGGGTTTCCATCGGAGCATACATCTACTACCAACTGAAATCTCTTGATCCGACATTGTCTAGTGCTGAAATAATCACACAATCCGCGTATCTTCAGACAGCATACACTATTGCGCAAGCAATCTCATCTTTACTATGGGGTGTGGTGTCGGATTCTCCCCGAGGAGGAAGAAAGCTCGTTGTGCTAATGAGTTTATCGGGATCATGTAAGTTGCCACTTCAGTGACATCCTCTGGGACGTTCGAATAACTTTTTCAATTCAGATGAGAACTGACACCATTCATAGTTATAAGCTGTTCGCTATTTGGCTTCATCACTAGCTTCAAGCAGGCCGTATTGCTTCGTGTATTTGAGGGAATAACAAATGGGACTGTTGCCATGGTGAGGACAATGGTCTCTGAAGTTGTTCAGGAGAAGCGGTAAGTCGACGTCTACTAGAGATGACCGCCAAGATAAGGAGGCTTGGGAGTTTGAAGTTTTGAACAGCTTAGACTGACTTGACATGTTCAAATAGTTTCCAAGCCAGGGCTTTTGCACTCCTACCAATTGCCACTCGTATGGCTATAATCATCAGCCCGCTCGTGGCAGGTTGGACTGTTCAGCTAGAAACAACAGGTCAAGATGATAGTTTTGTAAGAAAACACCCATATGCGCTGCCGGCTTTGCTGAACGCTGGCTTCTTGCTTCTACTCCTGCTTGCCACATTTATATTTCTTGAAGATGTACGTAGTCGTTCACGTATGCTCCCTTTTATCTTACTGACATGCTATTGAATTGGCTGAGACTGACGCAACACAGACATCGAAATCTCTAAGAGGTCGATTCGATCCTGGAATTGCCCTCTCAAAGAAAATTATTTCTTTGTTCCGCTTGATTCCATTCAGAAAGTCGGAAGACGCTCAATACTCACGCATCAACTCAGAGGAAGATGATGGAGAAGAGATGGGTTTCTTAAAGGGGGCTGATGGAAACGATCAATCTGGCGCTTCCACACCCCCTGGCGTACCTGACGGACCGAGTGAAAAGAACTTGAGACTTCCCACGCGTCGAATTTTCACAACTAACATGCTGCTGGTCCTAATGGCAACTCTCCTCTATGAACTACATCTGAACAGCGTCAGTGTTGCCATGGCCAACATGTTAGTTGATCCTGTTTCTACCAAGGAAGCCGAACTATCAAGGACTCTGCCATTCCGTTTTGGGGGCGGCGCCGGCTTTAGGCCAAAGTCTCTTGCCTGGTACTCAACAGTATTTGGTAAGAACTTCTCTACTAATTTCATTGATATCATTCAAAAACCAGTTAATGAGACAACATTGGCTGACTCAATGTGATATAGGGATTGTCGGTATTCCCATGCAAATCTTTGTTTACCCGTGGCTTAATCAGCGCTTCGGCTGTTTGAGACTTTGGCAACTGTTCTACCTCGGGTTTCCCATGCTTTACTATGCATATCCTTATGTTGCCATCATTCCATCGTCTACGCCGCCACCGTCGGAAAAGACTGGCGTGGCGGTGTGGGCTTTCTTGGTGTTTATTCAGACCTCAACATCACTCATTACGAGTGTGGTGACGCCCTCACAGCTACTACTGGCAAATTTCTCCTCGCCCCATCCATCGGCGTTGGGAAGAACCCATAGCATCACGTTCTTCACGTCGATGGCGGTTCGAGCTGCTAGTTCAGCCTTGGCGGGAAATTTGTACGCTTTTGGGTCGACGCACAACTTGACTGGAGTTATATTTTGGTTCAGTAGCGCTGTATCACTTGTATCTATTGTTCTCACGCGATTTGTAAGAGAAGGAAATGGCCATGAGATCAAGCTCCCGGGAGAGGAGTAGATTGGACTCAGACTAGTACTGGACTCGAAGGAACCAATTACACTACTCATCTTTTCCCGGTAACTCTGCTTTTCTTCGCCCATTTAGAACCGTTATACGTATTTTTGTGTTCGTTTTCCTTTTTGGAGACAAAGAAAAAAGAAAAAGAAAAGAAAGAAAACCAGAGAGATGAAAAATTGAGAAGTGGGATAAAGGAGCAAAAGCTAGTGTAGTGAACTGATCGAGTCGTCGAGTACGTTCTGACCTTGGAAGCTTAGAAACTTCGTTCTGTGGACTAGATCAATTTAACACGTTTAAAAAACTGACGAAGTACTATCTAATTCATATTCTGCACAAACTTCTCACCTGCCGTCTGATTGCTCCCAACCTCAAGCCTCTTGTACACACCCTCAATCTCCTCCTTGTAGTCCTTCTCGACCTCCCTCCGAAGCACCAATTGCTTGACAGTCAGCTTGATAGGCTTTGAATTGCTGGTCAAGAACAAAGTCTGTCTCGGAATAGCCACTGCTTTCGCAGAAATCGCATTGTGCCCCACAATGGTCTTCTCGTAAATATCGTCAAGAAGCTCTTCGTGGTTCTTGTCAAGCAATTCATCCTTCACTTCTATCAGGACGTATGGTGCAATGCGTCCTGCCCCGCCAACCATGACGTGCTTGATACCAGGGTACCTGGCGACTTTGGTTTCGATGTCTTGTGCGTGGAACTTGGCCATCCAAATCAGCTTCGTCCAATCATCAGTTCTGGCTACCGATTCCCAACGGGTACTGCCATCGCTGTCTTGAACCGGGCGCCACAACTCTTTGGTATCGATCGTCTCAAAGTCCTTGAACATCTTGTAGTTCCAGAAGGCACACTGATGGATGGATGGTCCACCATCGGGTGGCCTATCGATGAACATCTGGTACACATCAGAGTCATCTCCATCACCCAAAGCTTCCCCAGATCCCTCTAGCTTGACCAAACGAACATGGTGCTCTGGAATGAACTGGAAGCTGTACCATAGCTTCCTGTCTATGGGGTGCAGAGAAAAGCGACCGCCGGACTCTGTAGCTCCCATGACGGAATTGAGCCGGGTGTACTCGCACAGTGCGTTTCCAACAACTCGGTCGAGAGCAGATCCCAAATAAGTGATGAACTCGAGCGACTTCAGTAACTCCCGGGTCTCTTCATTGTTATACAGGTCAACGATGGTAAAGGGGAACCCCATCAGGCCATCGACCTTGTTGAGACGGAGAAGCTTCTGGAAAATGTCTGGTGGAAGTCCCACCACGTCTGGAGGGGGTTGGATAACACAAGTGCCGGAGAAAACGGCGAACATGTTGATCAAGACAAGGCCAGGCTGTAGCCTCATGGGGATTGCCAAAATCAGGGATCGGCCGTAGAAAGAATCCGTAGATATCCCCCTGGGCCAATGACGGCGAGCTAATCCGGCAGATGAACACCCAGCTGCCCAGAAGCCGTTGTTCATGAAGATGGGCTTAGGTGCCCCTATTGTGCCGGCCAGTCAGTACACGCTACTATGTGAACATGACGCACTCGGTCTTACCTGTGGTGCCTCCAGTGTGGATGATGAGAATTTCATCGTCCTTCGCCTCCTCGTAGGTCTTCTGGTAGACATAGGGCTCGGTTCCCTGGGCAGATAGACACCAATCGAGGGTTTGAAATTGCTCGACGTGGATACCTGATGCTGCGAGCTCAGGCTCAGGACTGAATGCACCCCCCTCAGAATATAGCCAAATTTTGCAGTTAGATGACTTTAGCAGCGCATCAAGACCATCCTTCATGAAGCGACCATCTGGAACAAGAAACTGAGTTATGTCAGCATGAAGTACGCTCCTGTTAAGGAACACCGGTGCATACCTTGCGACCTGTCTTGACCGATGCTGCAAATAGAAACGCATATCGGACGTCGCTGGGACCAGAATACGCCACAGTGTCGTTGTCCACAGACTTGCCAAAGGTCTCGTCAAGCCAGTGTGCAGTCTTGTTGATGCCGTCGGCGTATTGTTGCCAAGTCAACGAACGATAGCCCTCTGTCTCCCAGTCAGGCCCGCCGGCGAATCGCACAAGCGTATGATGAGGTTGCCATTTGGCATTCTCGTCAATTCTGCGGACGAAGAGCTCCATTCCCGGAGTGCTGGTATTGGAACTCATCCTGGTCAATGTGACGACTGGCAGGTATATCGACTGTTTCTGGCAAACAGGAAGCGTGAAGGAGAATTGGAATGATACGAGAACAAGAATGACGCCTTTCAAACAAGGTACCCATTCAATTCAAACATACCGTACTTTTGAAGCATACGTCAGGTCTGAGCCTCTGAGGTCTAGTCCCGGCCATTCCGAGACACAAATCATTTGGCAAAGATGTTCGTCTTGTTCTCACTGCTCAGACAGCGGGCCTTTGTGAATGAATACGACACCAGACATGTCAGATGGTGAGAACTGATTCAAAGACTGGGACACAGAACGGAGTTCTTTGTCGGAGGCTCCCAGCTGTATCGACTCCATTCAATTGGGTTTGTTCCGTAACCCGTTCAATTCACCGCACATGCCGCTTACCTATGCCCACAGCACTCCGCAATGATGATGGGACCCTCTCTAACGGCGCGCTCTACCGGAGATATTAGCTCTGAGCTCTGGAGTTTGAATACGTCTTAGGACTTCATGTAGTCGGATGGGTTGTGGCAGTGGGGGAGAACAAGGCGGGCTAACCCTTGTGAAAGGTCCGAACGTGATTACGGACACGTAGAACTTGACCAGATCCACTGTGGTCAGATATTTGACAGTTGTGAAGTGTAGCAAGGAGATACTCTCGCATATTCAGGCTGCTCCCAGAGTGAATGTTACCTCTTGGCGGAGAAAGCGGGCCCCTGCGTGCTCTCAATGACGCGGCGGAGGAGCTCAGTAAGATTTATGACATCTTTGAGTTAAGGTAGGTCAAGGACAGAAGTCCGAGATATTTGGGATATGGCTGTAGACTTACAACGCCGATGTGACATTTGTTATTGGCACCCCCCGTGCTAGATACAAGATATCATGGGTGGGTAAACTGAATCCTAGTCAGTGGATCAACCCCAGGTCAGTCCTGCGGCCGAATTGTGGGCTGTTCTACTAGTTTATTTACTTTCATACTGCACAAACTTACGGATATAGCACACATCTACATGTATCCGTAAGCCAAGACGCCACTGACAAGTAAGCGTATTTATCTCTGGCGGAATTGACAGACTTTGCGCCTTGCTACAGATATCAAACTTAGGCAGGTCTATTTCAACCCCTCAGGTCGAATCCTACCTTGGGCGGGGGCTGATGTCTGACCTAGGGATAGTGTCAATACAGGGGAGACTGAAATGTGCTGAACTCTAAACCCTAGCCACAAGATTTCGGCTAAGACAACTTTACACACTGTGTTCCACGAAAAAAGACTAGAGAAAGGTGTAATACCGATTGCGACGACCGATATTCATTATGCCGACTGTCACAGTTTGTATGGAGTTCATCGACAACACATCAATTCCAAAGACGCTTCCATGATGTCTTCCACGCCGCAAGCACCCCCTCATCCCCGAGACTGGGAGGTTGGAGTCGATGAATATCTCGCGCAGAACGAAATCTCCTATGAGACAGCGGTACCTCTCAACACTGGCACATCATGCTACATTTGGCGACTCGAAGGTTTGGTCGACGCGGAGGCCTCGGCCAATGGTCACCAGACAGGCCAGCCAGTCATAATGAAGTGTGCCGACAGCACGCCCAAGTACCGGAACTTCCCAGTCTCACCGAAGCGTCTTCAGTTTGAAGTCAAAGCTCTGAGGTCTAGAGCAGTGGAAGAAGCATGCCGCCAAGAGCCATCGGTTCAAGTTCCGCGCGTGCTTCGAGAAACGAAGAACGGCTTCATCATGAGCAATGTCGGTGAGACCGATCTGAGGACAGCCTACAAGACGTACGAATTTCTGGACGCGCCGGGAATCGGTGCACGCTTGGGTCGATGGCTGGGTAGCCTGCATGTTGCCGGTATTGATCTGGGCCACGACGGATGGAGCTTTCATCACAATGAGCTGGACAAGTTTTACGTACCCGGCGGCCTGGCGGAAAAGGCAATCAAAGATGCAATGAACGATGGAGAGTCGGAAAGGGTGCTGGCAGCAATGCGTGCCCCCGCTCCTATTCACACGCTGACGCCTTGGGACTTTCGGCCTATGAATATTGTGGTTCATCTTGCCGAAGATGAGAGAGTGGCCCCGGACCTTGCGGTCGTGGACTGGGAACTATGCCACTATGGTGATCCTTCCAACGATGTCCGCATGTGGTTTGCTGAAGTCATGATATTGGAGGCGAAGTTTGGCAATAGGGGCCTACTCTCGTCGTTTTTGTCGGCATATAAACAACAGGTCGGCAATGCTGTTGTAGATGAGGCATTTGTGTTCAGGGTTGCTCTGAGCGCCGGCATCTACATGTTGTGGCTTATTCCCATCAACCCTCGGGTTTGGGATTGCACAGAGGAAGACGTGGAATCTTGGAAGAGAACAAGCCTAGACTATATCAGGGCAGGTGTAAATGAGGATGTTGTCTGGCTGAGAGAAAGATGCTTGGGGCCTTTGCTGGTATGATATATTGCAAGGTAAAGTAGATGATAAATATGAGAAATAATAGATTTCTCCCATCGACTTTTTTTACTCTGCCGTATGTGTTTCAGGTCTTTTCAGAACAACCAAAATGAGATTGATATCAGAGTGAAGAAAACAGAAATATTTCCAAGATGTTTGAAAGGCTGAAATCCCAACCAATATACCTTACTTAGCAAATAAGGCTTCTTGGGACAAAGTGAAGACAAGTTTTCTCACTGAGTCTTTGCGTTGCATTGTTCTACTAGATAGGCAATGTCGAACATCCTGGCGTAATGAATCTAAGATTCTCCGTTTGTCTTGTTGGGAAGCCATGCAGCATCTGCTGACGCCCTCGACTTTCCAAAATTCGCGCCTGGGTAATTATACGCGGTGTACGCCTGCGCCCGCTTTCCATCTCGCACTGGAACGCGGAATCCCAAAAGCCCCAGTTGCCTGTCAGACAGTTTTGCCTTAGTCTCAGCGCTCATGAGCTCCGGGTAATTCTCCATGGCCTGCAAAAAGAAGCGGCAGAATGCTGACAGAATGACAGGCCGTGTCACGTCTGATGTGTTTACACCAGTCGAGTGCCAAGTTCGGCTGTCCAAGAGCACACATGTTCCAGCAGGGGCAGCAGCCGGAACAGATCCACCCTGATAATGATAAGTAAGACGTCAATTCGCTGAGAATTTTATGAGGCAAACCAAAGGACAATTACTTACGACTTGGTTGATAATGCGAGGTGCGACATTTTTGTTGTGAGACCCGGGATACAAACGGGTGGCGCCCCTGGCCTCCGTGACATCCACTAAATACCACATAGCGTTTAGAAGATAAGGATGATCAATTGTCTCAGGAGTGAGCCCCATCTGATCGCGGTGCATATAGATACCGGACTTTGCAGGTCGAGCAATGTTAGCGCCCATAGAATGGAGCTTGAACGCATTTCCCAGAAACCAGGGCATGATTGCGTCGATCAAAGGATGATTCAAAAGATCGAGAAACTCATCGCCTTTGTTGGGAAGACTCCTATGTTTTTTTAATCAGTTGGCTGAGTCTGACAGAATTTGCAAGACGCCGAAGAATGTTGAACTAGAAAGGCGCAAAAGACTTGATTGATGGCTTACCATACTCGTTGATTCGGCTGATCGTCAGCCTGCACATGAGCGCCGTCCATGTGAGCTACACCAGCCAGTCGTTCGCCAGCTGCTTGTTCATCAACAGCAGTCTTGAGGATCCCAACCTGCTCTATCGAAAGAGCATTCTTCACCATTGCGTATCCCCATTTCTGAAGATCATGTCTAATCTGCTCAACGTTCTCCGTGGGTTTTGGTAAGTCCTGAGGATCCAGCTCATCCGCGTCAAGGACGGGCTGAGGACGTCCGCCTGGAGCAAAGCACATTGGGAAGCTTCCACGACACGGGGGCTTCGCGCGCTTGCCAAAAGCGTGAACGGCGTGCATACGACCTTCAATGACATCGAGGATGTACTCGGGCATGATCGTCACCGTGACACCAGGCTTCACATCATCTGGGATGTTGTCAAGCAGTTTGGCACCTATTGATACAGAATCAATGAAGATAGGGGGGCACAGAAATTGTGATCCGTCCCCGAGCTTGAGCTCAACAAGAGTGTCAAGTCCATCAAAGTCCTATATTTCTAATAAGCTAAGGAATAGCTATAGAGGAATGATGATGATGACAGAACGAGTTGCAATTATTGTGAAATGGTCCAACATACTGCCAGTCTTTTCTTGATGTATTCATGAACGCGAGAGACATTCTGCTGAAACACGCTTAGAGGATCGTCCCTAGTTAAATCGTAAGGCTTGCCTTCAAAGACAAGCCCAGAGGTGAGAGAGCTAGTGGGAGGCGGAAGAGTCGATGCCATTTTGGGTCGTTGGAAGCAACAATCGAGGTAAGGGTTTTTCCCTCAGAACTGGGGAACGTTGTAGCCTTGGAGAGTTCTGATGGCACACATTGTCTCGTGATGATCAATGAATAATGCTGGGGAAGTTTGGCTCAAACCCACTAGTATGCGCCGCATCGACACGCTTCATATTGTCCGCACTGTGCATGCACACTTAGACCCCGCCTTCGGCATCGTGAATAGTATGGTTCCGTAGTCGTATTGGGTTCATGACTTTTGTCCACAATGTTGCATCGAAAGATCTCCATTTTCGCCAAGGCTGTGTTGCGCGGCTTTGTGACTTGAACTTACGTTCCCGACTCAACTTCTGAATTTTTGCACAGGAAAGATGTTGTAGGACCGTATGTGCTTGTTGATGTTGACCGCTTCACTCACCGGTCTAGGTTTCGAGGCTCTCCCCACTTTCGATATAAACTTCTACCGAAAATATCAGCGATAGAAAGTTCTCATAGTGTGGCCCTATCTGCGAATGCGGGTCTAAGGTATTAAAAAACAAGGCAGAGACTAGGAGTGTCGATAGAGTCAGGCGAACTTGTATCTGTAGGGATACTGCATACGAATACAGCGAGCATGGGAAATGGGTTGAAATAAACTTTACAGCCGTACCTTGTAACATAGTCTTCGTAGTTTAGTCCCTTGGTGCTAGTCGGTTATATCGGGTTAGCGCCAAGCAGTCTATGTTGCCGATCATCCATGTCCCAGCCGGGTATCGAAGGGCTTGGTGAGCCCTTCTCCCCACAATCAATCCTGCCTCCCGGAGCCAAGCTCTGCGCTCCGTTCTCACGCTCCGTACCCCTGAGTCATGAACTTCCGTAGCGACCCCGGTTCGGACCTTTGTACTCCTGGCTATGGCGCACATGTGTAATGACAACCAAGGTCTATTGATTCGCCACTCTCGGCTGGTTATTTAGGCGAGGTCACGATTCAGAAACTTGCACCGGGGTTCTCTCTTTAGTTCTGACAGCTCATGATTCACATCCGAGATGTGAAATGCTTCCGGTCACCGTGGATCGCGCGGATACGGGAGGTTCGTCCGGCCGACACTCCGAAAGCTCGCAAGCAGAGGGAGCACGAGCCTTGAAAAGAAAATTACAGAGTTTCCTGCCGGAAGAGCGGTTAATAAACAGTTACAGGCAACTTTTGCGGAGCTGAAAGGCGTTTGCCGCACGTCATTTGTGCAGTATAGAGAAGGTCCGTACCCAATACCCGATTAGATGCCGACATTCCCATCAGGTCGGGACGAGAATAGAGTTCAGGGCCCCAGCTGACGTGTTTGTATTTGTACCTTAACTGCAAAACTATGTTGAGACTGTGGTTGCATTCAGCGGAGCCCTCCATGCTCTATGCCAAGTATTCTTATTTTTGAGCTATGACAGTCGTTTGGACCCTGGATGCGTATTCGGTCTTTACCCAAAGCGATACACATGCTTACAGTTCGCGCCATCAAGTTAGAAGTACATTGGCCTCGCATCAGCGGTGGGGGCCGGGACAGGCTTCGGCTCCGGCGGTGTAACCCACTCCTTCCACGGCTGAAGTCGACCATCTTCTGGGAATGGACCGTTAGGACCAGGACCATCGTTCTGATACGGCGCGGGCTCCAGGACGATGAATCGCGCTTCGACACTGTACCGCGTCGGGCAGCCGGGCCGAGCCGCTCCATTTCGAAATGCAGCGTGGGGAACAACTGGGTGCGGGGCTCATTAGTTAAGGTTTCTTGTCCCCTGATCGACTAGACCAGTCTCGGTCACCACTCGCCGCGCGGTGATATACTCGCGCCGATAAAGAAACAGGTAACATACTGTTGAAAAAGCCACTTGGCGGGTGGGTGTCGTACTGTGTCATGATAACAATCTCGCCAGGGGTCTGATTGCTCATCCAGTACCATCTGTGGGCAGGATTCCACGAAAAGTAGGCGACTTCCTTGGCTGCTTCGTGGGTGATGCGGTCAACCGAGACAACATCGGCGAGATCGGTGTTAGTCTTCGGGTCGCATACGGCAAATGGAATGTCCTCGGCATGATTGAACATCGGGCGCCAAATGCTAAAAAAGAAGAAAAAAAAAGTCGCCATTAGCGGGTCGCTCGCCGCGAAGCCGAAGGAGAGGTCTCATAGCTGGTTGGCTGCATACTTGATAATTCTCGCCCGGCTTTGGCCTGAAAGAACGCGGTGACGCTCTTCCTCAGTCAAGAACAGGGATATTCTGCTCCAAGAACTGGCTACAGTATTGTCTGTGGGAATGGTTGATATTAGCAGCAAGAACATGCCTGTTGGAATAGTGAGGAGTTTTCTTACCCAAGTGTGCAAAAGGAAGATGTCCTGTGCGGCCTCCCTTTGAACGCGCATCTCGGAACTGAATGTGCGTGAAGTATGATTAGCATATATGATCTTGAAATCCGATGAAGGTCGCTAAGCTATATAAATTACAAACATTGGCATTGATGGGGAAAATCTCATCTGTACCAAATCGAGATTTTCTATGAATTATCAGCGTCTCGTTCGCGTTTTTGTTGCACAGGTATGGTGCATACATACAAAAATTGAGCCATCTCTTCCAAGTACGGCTTGCAGTCATCCGCTCCAGTCATCTTTGAGAGCTCTTTGGACTTGTTCTCGAGGAAACAGAAGCCATTCTCTTCAATGGTGGGCTTGAAATCGGGTAGCGTTCGTATGTCGGTCAGATTAAGCTTACATCGCACACTCGTCAACATCGCTTGTCACTTTCTTCAACATTTCATTTTTGCTTAAGCTTACTTCCATGTCCTTCATAGCGAAGTTCGCCTTGGGGAATGACTGTCCGTCGGGGCCATCCCAGGAGTACGGCTTAGCTGTTTTGTGGAGATCAGTTCTCTCAAAGAAAGCAGTAACTGCTGCCATGACTGTTGATGGTAATTTGAAGGATACAAAATCCAGAAAAAGTTGCGTGTTACTAGAGTTTGCCCAAAGAAAGGGATTGCCAGTGTCATCTTCGATGGACAGCGTCACGGAGCATACTTATGCCCACGTACGAGCTAGGTAGTGGCGTGAAAGCACAAAATGATATGACTTGAGAACTGGTCCTGGGTACAGGGGATGGGGACCGAGCGGGGAACCAAGGTTGGGCAGATTTGTGCGCTTTTTCGTCGCCGTCTCATTGTCAGGTCGCAGTCCTTGCACGCCCTCAGTCGCTTCAAAACACCTGCCCGCCGCAAGCGACTGGTCTTCAATATACATTAACTCGACTCGGGCGAGACCTCTTTAGCCGAAGCGCCGAAGTACTGTGCCGGAACTATCATATTCTCACTACACTCTCTTTAATGCAAAGTAGCATTTTAAGATGTTGTCTTTGCTATCATCAACAGGGCTGTTTTGCCTAATCATCACGTTGTGGCTTGTGACAGTTGCGATACTGTGCGCCTTTTACAACCTCTTTTTTCATCCACTGGCAAGACACCCAGGGCCGCGACTGGCAGCAATCACCCCACTGGTTCATGTCTACCACTTCGTAATTGGCGATGCTGTCGGCTGGCTCGACAGGCTACATGCGAAATATGGCGAGGTTGTGCGCGTCGAGCCTGGTCGTCTGAGTTACATCACTCCTCAGGCTTGGAAGGACATATATGGGCATGCGACGGCCACTCGTAAGGTCAACTCAAAAGAGAGGAAGAACAGCAAGAACCTCTTCTCCAACGGGAGTTACTCAATTTCCTCCGCACACGGTCCCGAGCACCAGCGCCTGCGCAAGATCTTCAGCAATGCGTTTAGCGACCGAGCCATCACGAAACAAGAACCCATGCTGGCGCTTTATGCACAGCAAATGGTCGACTTGGTCCGTCGAAGAATTTCTAGCGAGGGAAACTCCTCTGACGTTGCTGTCATGGATGCAGTCCAGCTTTTCAACTTCGCCACGTTCGATATCATGGCGGATCTTGCATTTGGCGAATCACTAGGCTGCCTCGAAGACGGTGGATCAAATGCTTGGGTCGACGCCGTCCAAGTGAATTTCAAACGAATGATAGTCAAGGCAAGATTGAGGCCTTACCCGGTAATCTCATACTTGTGGCATCTATTTCAGCCGGTACAAGATAAGAAGGCTGCTGCAGTGCACATTCAAAGCTCGCACGAGCGTGTCACGAAGAGACTGGCCAAGGGCGCTGATGCCAGGAACGATATTTGGGGACTCGTGCTCAAGGCCGAGGGACCTAACGCGCTGAATCGTACCGAAATGAACAACAATGCTAACAACTTGTGAGTTTCCCCTGGTACCTAAGTTGAGTCTACTCGTTTCAGTTACTGACGGCCTCGGCCTGCGTTCTCATTATTCTAGCATGATAGTTGGAACCGAGACATCAGCGACAGCGCTGAGTGCTCTCACATATCTCTTACTTAAAACTCCGGAGAAACTTGAACGATTAGTCAAGGAAGTGAGATCGGTCGGCGACTCAAGCCAACTCAAAGGCGATGTTCTCAAAGACTTACCGTATCTTCAGGCTTGCCTCACTGAATGCCTCAGATGTATGAATAATATCCAGTCTTTTATTGTCATGGACATCACTAATGAGTGGTTGCAGTACATCCTCCTGTCCCGACAGGAGGTATGCGTGTCATAGGTGAAGGAGGCAACACCATCCTTGGTCATCTTCTCCCTGAAGATGTGAGTATTGTCTTCTTCAGCACCAGATCATGGCTAATTACGCCTATTTTCTAGACCAAAATGTCAATAGCGACCTGGACTGCCTTCCGTATCTCTCGGTACTGGAAAGATGGCAATGAGTTTATCCCCGAAAGGTGGATCTCGGGTGAGCGCGGCTACGAGGAGTACCACGCGTACGACCAGCATAATGTGTTCCAAGTATTTGGCACCGGTCCTCGCGCTTGTATTGGCAAAAAGTAAGTAATTCAAGCTTTTCAGACCGTTTCTTGAATTCCACTTTCATCATCTTGAATCATAGCACCTTAGCTAACTCATTTAACAGTCTTGCTTTGCAGGAGATGCGCCTCTTATACGCCAACTTTCTTTTCCATTTCAATATGGAATTATGTACCGAAAGTAATCGATGGATGGAAGATCAGAAATGCTGGACTTTATGGTTCAAAGACAACCTTCACATCCGGGTTTCCCTCAGACAAGACATATAAGGTTACTCAAAAAGACCAGTAGTTCACCAAGATTCAGATGAGGATGACGTCAATAGAAAAGTTTGGCTCAACTGAGGTGTATGAAGTAGACGCTGCCGCTAGATATATGGGAATGAGTTAATCTGAGTAAAGGAGCTAGTGCATGTTGTCCCTTTTAGAAAGATGTCGAATGTGGTTCGTCATCTTTACAATATCCTCCCTTTTCTGGGGAATATGATGTCCCCCTTCGAAATTGATGACGTGAGAGGCCTTCGAAGAATAATGCGTTGCAAGAGTGTCTCTTGCCTGCCCGAGATTGCAATCCTGACTCCCATGAAGATGCAACGTTGGCACCGAAATTTTGGCAATCTCACCGCCGTCTGACTTGCCGCGGATGTAATCTGTCGCGACATCACTATAAGCGCAGCAGACCAATACTCCAAACTCCAATCGCGGGAGCCACGGCAGCAGTCCCATCTCCTGCTCCCACAGCAAGACCGTACTCGCCAGCCCGCCCTGCGAGAAGCCCAAGACCCCGACGATCTTGACGTGTTCGTTCTCCAGCTGCCAGTCCTCAACTGCCATCTTGATGGCTTCGTTGAACACGGCAACTTCCCCTTCGGTATCGATTGCGCCCTTTCGAAACCAGGAGTAGAATGACTTCATGCCGGCAAAGAAGGGGAGGACGTCTGGACCGGGAACTGCGACATGGGGTCCGGTGGCAAACACGAACTCGAAATCCTCCTTGAGAGCCGCGCGGAAGCCAGCGAGCTGAAAACGGAATATGTCGGGGGAAGCACCACCACCATGAATGCAAAGAATTGCCCGTGATGGCGACCTTTTGAGTGATGTGACCATCGTGACTATGTCTTTGATGGGTATTCCTGTAGTTGAAAGTATGGGATGATGGAAGGTGAAAGCACGACCTCAAGATGTACAAGATTTATCGGAATGATGCAGTGAGTGAGTCTTTGGGGTAAGGTTATTGGGGCCGGAAGTTTGAATGGAAAGGTGAGGAGAGCAAACACTCGGGAGATATTTATGTACCTTGGTGAGATTATTGCATCGGATGAAAGAGAGTACAAGCCCACGGAGGCTTTGAACAAGGTACCTGGGCCGAGTTCAGTGGGGCAAAGTACTTCGATTTGAGGAAGAGAGCACTGTATCACTCTCTCCTTGGACCTAATCGCTTGCTCTGCTCGCATCTTATTGACCTTGGTCAGCAGGTATATATGAATTTGCTCCAATATTCCATGATCATGATACTTTTCTGCTTTAGAAAGCCCGCCATAATGTCAGGAATCCTCAATATGCATATCTTCTTTGTCCTCTCTACACCAAATCAGGCATTCATACGTACAACCACCTTCTCCCCAGAGAGTGCCTTGTTTCGAACCATTTCCATCCCGGCTAAGATTGCTTCAAATCCACCATCCAAAACACGTAGCGGATGATGTTGCAAATTTCCCTCGTAAACCAACTTCTCTACAGTTTCCCAAACAGAGACCCCAAAGACACGCAATTCTTCCGACGGATCGCTCTTATAAGGCTCGGGCCAAGTGCATCCTTCGCCGAAAATCCGAGGACCGACTGTGAAATCTGCGGTGACAACTTTTCGAGTTGCGGCGTGCTGTTGCCAGGGATCAAGAGATACATATTTCCCGCCGCCTCGCCCGATAGCAGCATAGCAGAGGGCTGTAGACTCGACGGTTGTGATGCAGTCCAAGGCATATTTCAAGTTCCCTTTCGTGTATGTTTTCTAAACAAGGAATACCATCAGTAAGCTGCTAGTTTCTCCATGATTCAAAAAAAAAAAAAGGAAGTTTGTGTGTAGGAACTCACAATCTTCTTCGCCAGCTCCTTGTCATTGCGATCGAAAACTTCTACCGCGTTATTTCTTTTCGCCAGGTCGAAGTTCTTCGGGGAACAAATAGCGATCGGATCGAGACCGGACCTATGTACGATTACTGCGTTAGATATGTTCTCTATGACATGGTGGAAAATTTTACTTACAGTTTCAGCATTTGCATAGCAATCGTCGCAGTTGCGGCACTAGCACCATAAACCAAGACAGGGGCAGGCTTCGCAACTTCTTGACCAGGCAAAGGCAAGCCAAGCAGCTTCATCGCGATTCCGGCGGTGCTCACGCCTACAGGCAGAGATGCGGCAGCTTCAGTGCTCCAAGACTCAGGGATCTTTGCCCACATCTTACCCCGAGTCACGGCGTACTCGCAAAACGCGCCGCGTTCAGGCGTGGTTCCGTACATCTCGTTCTGAGCACCAAAGACTCTATCGCCAACCGCGATGTCATCAACACCGTCCCCCACAGCGACCACAGTTCCTGCGAAGTCTGCGCCTAGGATACCGAACTTCGTCGCGAAGGCTCCCCGCATCTTTGTGTCACTCGGGTTGAGGCCAACAGCCTCAACGCGAACCATGACTTGGTCTGCTGGGATTTTGGGACATGGTGCCTCGTCCCAAATGATGACCTCGTCTTTGTCGTTCACAACAATGGCCTTCTGGGTCGTCGGAGAGACTAATTTCTGATGCGAAAGACTGCCCATCATGAAATGTGGTGATGTTGAGCTGGAGCTGAGCCTGAACTACCTCGTTTGCCTTATTCTATGTCGTTGATTCATAGCCACACAACTACCTCCCCTCACTTACGCACAAGAAGTCCTCTCCTTAGGTGTTCTTCACACGGTCTCGAGTCGTTCGCCCACTCATCCACTGTACCCGAAAGCATACCCCCCGGTCAGCTCAACTTCGACGACATCCCTGAATCGGGAACCCCGCTCTATCTCGCAAATATCCTCGGGCCTTTACAAGAGAGTACGTAACCGATGGGATGCGAACCCGGATAGATCTGTACAGCCATACGGATAGACACCCTCGCAAGTCTAGGAAAAGTGTAGCCGGTTGAACTACAGAATTATGGACCCGGGGACTAGTGGAGATGGCGATAAGTATTACCGTTTCCTGTAACCTATATCTGCAGGCTGACGACTCATGGAATCGTGGATCCCAATGGAGCCCCTATGGTTCGGGTTCAAACTCTGTTTTGACTTTGTTAAACTGAAATATCAATACGTGTTTCCTTTTTCGTTGGGCACATTTACGTTCAATTACTACGGATACTTCGTAGATGCATCGATATGATCCCTCCCCTGTTCGTCCAATCCCCCACCGAGGTCATCCTTGATGATGAAGACAAATCATCGCGGAGTTACACAAGTCCTGTTGCCGCTTACTACTGGGTAGCTTGTTGTGATGCTTTTTGACGCAGCTCACCTGCCATGATGCATACGACCCTTTGACTTTGCAAGGCACCTGGCTACAGGCCAATCGAGGACATCTTAAACCTATCAAGTAGAGTTTGGAGATCCGAATAGAGTTTCGGGTGGCTCCGCTGATTATCCTGGTAGCGGGATTCTTTCACCTCCACCTCTGAGAATACCCCAGTTGTTCGAGTACCTGTACTTCTCTGCCCAGGCAATGATCGCATCCCAGTCCTTGCACTGGTGTTGATAACCCCACCCCGTCCCGACCTGTTCGTTGTACTTGCGCCACTCGAGCGTCACATCCGCATTACACATGATAGTCTGTCGTAGGTAGTCCCAGCAATGATTGAGATGCTCAGAATTCCAACCAGGATCTGTGGGCAACTCTCTTTTCCCCGCCTCGTTCTTATTCAGGCGGTCGATCAGCTCATAGTACGCGTCCATGGTGCTGTACTGTTGCGGGGATAACGTCAACCAAGGTTCAGCAGCGGTTCAGTCATCTCGAGTGGCGGGGCTGTGTACGGAAGAGGGAATGAGGCTATTCGGTGTGACGTACAAGACAATGCAATTGATGAAAGACTGATGGATACGCCCGATGTTCCGGAAGCGATTGATTCAGCCCCGGCAAGTCAGGCAGAGCAGTTTCGTTCTTGACCGTGACCCAGCCCCGCCCAACTGTTGTCAGATATCAGCATTCCGACCATTTTCAAACGTTGAGACTACTACGGATAGATGGTGTCCTGAGTTCTTGCGCGGTCAATCCAGGGAAGATTACTTACTAGGCAGCAAACTGTTCCACGCCTCAACACTTTCAGGGTTCGGAGGCTGACCGTATAGTTTATTCCCATGCAAGACCTTTTTCACGGGGACTATGACACCAAAGTCAGTGTCATATCAGCTATCAATGCAACACGCCGTCCACTTTGCTTGGAGATCCACGCTTCTTCCTGGTCATCTTTGTGACTGCCCAGGCAGAGGAGATGGGGTCAACGTACTTTGGGGCGGGAGCCACTTCGGTTGCGGCGGGTAAACAACCGTTGTAGGAGCCTCGGGGAGATTAGACGCCTGGCCGTGGAATATGACGAGAATTAAAACAACTGCGATAGAGATGACATTCGAAAGTAATAGGGTAAGAATGATCAACTGAGAGCGCGGGAAACGACCAGTGGCCCCGGTGGGCCGTTCGTCGTCACAAGGTTTACGAGAATGGAGTAGGCCGGCATTCTCGTCCTCCGTATTCGAGAATCTCGGTGTATCAATCATGTTCGTGTCGTTCTCTTCGTTTGAGAAGTCCTTGGCGGATTTCGCCATTATGCTTCCCTGTCGTCGGAAGTGGGTAGCGTGAATGGGGGATATGTTAGATGACAGCCTTGATGTGATGCAGTAGGGGGTTTTTATAACCGTCTCAGTGTAGAAAGCTGTAGGAATTAGGTCAAATCAGGCAAATTCGCCGTAGGGGGAATGTTCCTTGCACGCAGGCCATGCCCACCGCAGGGTCCCCTATCATCACATTTGACTGAGCCACATTCATGTACAGTGTTTGAGTACACTGTGGCACTTCCATCTTGATAGAGATTTCCAGGGCGAAGACGAGATGCTCCGTCAGGTTCACCAGTCGACGAAGTCAAATGTCATCTCGAGTCGCGGGGCTTGAATACTCGTGGCAGAAGTCTTTTGCTATATGAATTGAGGAATGCTTTCTACTTAACTCGTGTTATTCCCACTCGCTGACTCATTGTTTCCGAAATATTCATCCAAGTCCCTCATTCCGGCTTCTTCCCTACCATCATCAGCGTCATGTCGCCGAACGAGCCTATTGTTGTCGTTGGAAGTGCATGCCGGTTTCCGGGCGGTGTTGATAGCCCAGCAAAGCTATGGGAACTCCTGAAAGAACCCAAGGACTTGCAATCTGAGGTCCCAAAGGAGAGATTCAACATCGACGCATTCTACCATCACAATGGCTCTCATCATGGGAGGACCAACGCCCGCCACGGATACTTTCTCGATGAGACACCTCGGGCCTTTGATGCGTCATTCTTCAACATCCAAGCCGGCGAGGCAGAGAGCATAGATCCGCAGCAGCGGTTGCTCCTGGAAACCACCTATGATGCTGTAGCCGCGGCTGGATACGGACTACACGATCTTCGCGGGTCTGATACCGCAGTTTACGTCGGCTTGATGACCCACGACTTTGAGCTCGTCAAAGTAAACGACATAAGCTACAGCCCAACGTATTTCGCAACGGGTGCCGCCACGAGTATCGCGTCGAACCGTTTATCGTACTTCTTCGACTGGCATGGTCCAAGTGTAAGCTAGACACCCAGTGAAATCCACAGCTGCTACGTCAATGTCTTCCAGCTGATCATAGTCATAGATGACCATTGATACTGCGTGCAGTTCCTCTTTAGTTGCTGTGCATCTTGCGGTGCAACAGCTGAGGAACGGATCGAGCAAGACAGCTATCGCAGCTGGCTCCAACTTGATATTATCTCCAAGTATGTACACTCCCTTTCCTGAAAGTGAAGTGACTCGGCAAGGCTAATACTACATCTTTCATAGTGAATTACATCACGGAGAGCAAGTTGAACATGCTTTCACCCACGGGTAGATCCCGAATGTGGGATGCTGCAGCCGATGGGTACGCTAGAGGTGTAAGTCTCGTCCTCCACTGCCTGTCGTATAATATGGCCTATGAGACCATCATTGCGGACTATGAGATTGGCTCGATAATCGGACTTAGACTAACCAAATCCTCGATGTCTTTAAATAGGAAGGTGTCGCCACTGTGGTTCTCAAGAGGCTGAGCCAAGCGCTTCTTGATGGCGACTCTATTGAATGTGTCATCCGTGAAACCGGCATCAATCAAGACGGACGCACAACAGGCATTACGATGCCGAGCCATGTTGCTCAGGAGACTCTCATTCGCGAGACGTATGCTCGGGCTGGTTTAGATGTTGCGCAAGCCGAAAATCGCTGCCAATTCTTCGAAGCTCATGGTAAGTTCTAAGCATGAGTGTGGATTTGGGACCTTTGCTTATTCTCGACTCACAGGAACTGGAACGCCAGCGGGTGATCCTCAGGAAGCTGAAGCAATCTCGAAAGCTTTCTTTAGCGGCCAGGACAGTCCAGACAGCGAGCGTTTGCTTGTCGGAAGTCTCAAGACTGTCATTGGCCACACTGAGGGCACTGCTGGTATTGCCGGGTTGTTAAAGGCCTCACTTGCCGTACAGAACGGCGTTATTCCTCCCAACTTGCTGTTTGAAAACCTGAGTCCCAAGGTTGCGCCCTTCTACAAGAACCTTTATATTACGAGAGAGGCTCAGCCATGGCCAGAACTCAAGCCTGGCCAACCGCGGAGAGCAAGTGTTAACTCGTTCGGTAAGTTCTTCAGTGACGCCAGTTCTAGGCATCCCGAACAACGCTAATAAAGGAAAGGCTTCGGTGGCACCAATGCCCACGCCATTGTTGAGGAGTACAAGCCCTCTGCTTCGATCTCGAAAACGACGTCGACGCCAGAGTCTCGAATTATTTCAGCAGCATATGCACTGCCCCTCGTACTTTCTGCCAAGTCAGAGCGTTCGTTAAAGAGCCTGGTGAAGCAAACTGCTCAGTTCATCAAGTCGAACCCGGATACCGATATGCTCGATCTCTTCTGGACGCTCCTTTGCAAGCGAGCCATTCTGCCTTACCGCCAAACTGTCGTCGGATCTTCTAGGGAAACTATCACTCTGGCCTTGGAAAACGCCATCTCGGAGAACGCCAGCTTAGAGCCCAACTTGCGCTCCTTCACCACCAGCCAGGAGAAGCCTCGTCTCCTGGGTGTGTTTACTGGCCAGGGTGCTCAATGGCCTGGCATGTTGAGATCGCTCATCTCAGCAATTCCTCGTGTTCGCGACATCGTAGCTGAGCTTGATCACTCACTTCAGACGTTGCCCGCCGAATATCGCCCTTCTTGGACTTTGTATGAGCAGTTCTTGCTCGAGGACGAGGCCTCCAATGTTAGTACAGCCAGCTTTTCGCAACCACTCTGCTGTGCTGTACAGATCGTTTTGGTGCGGCTACTTGCAGCTGCTGGTGTTGAGTTCACCACGATAATTGGTCACAGCTCAGGCGAAATAGCTTGTGCCTTCGCTGGAGGCTTCATCAGCGCCTCGCAGGCCATCCGAATCGCTTACCTCCGTGGGCTCACATCTAAGCACGCTAGCTCTCCTAACGGAGGTGAGGGAGGCATGCTTGCGGCCGGTACTTCACTAGAAGATGCGCAGGAGCTCTGCGAATTAGAGATGTTCCAAGGCCGTATCAGCGTTGCTGCCAGTAACTCGCCAGACAGTACTACCATTTCCGGTGATGCCGATGCTATTGCCGAACTGCAGACTATCTTGGAGGATGAGTCCAAGTTTGTCCGCATGCTCAAGGTCGATAAGGCTTATCACTCACACCACATGATCCCTTGTTCGTCGCACTACATCAAGGCTTTGATCGACTGTGACTGCGATGTCGCTGATGGGGCCGGTTCCTCGGTGGCGTGGTACTCCTCTGTGCACCAAAACAGACGCATGAAGGCAAGCGATGTCACCGCCGAGTACTGGAATGACAACTTGGTCTCTCCTGTCCGTTTCATGCAGGCTGTTGAAGCCGCCGCCATCGAGCACAAATCACTCGGTGCTGCCATTGAGGTGGGCTGCCACCCAGCCCTAAAGGCACCCTGCCTGGCGACCCTCAAGACCGTTCTCTCGGAAGACATGCCTTACACTGGCTGCATGCAGCGTGGTTCCGATAATGTCCAAGCTTTTGCCAGTGCAGTTGGGTATCTTTGGGAACGTCTGGATCTCGGTGCAGTCGATCCTGACAGATTCATATCCAAAGTACTCGCACCAGGTAAGAGTCTTCGGAGCCTGTCAAAGGCCCTGCCACAGTACCCCTGGGACCACAGCCGAACTCATTGGAACGAGACACGTGCAATCAAGGCCCATCTACACGGATCCAGGCCTCACCTCTTGTTGGGCTCCTTATCGCCCTCAAGCACCGGTTCTTCATCGCAGTGGCACAATACTGTACGGCCTAGGGACCATGAGTGGCTGCAAGGTCACGCGCTCCAAGGCCAGGCCGTTTTCCCCGCGGCCGGATATATCGTTATGGCCATGGAAGCTGCTCTCCAGATGGCCGGTGGACGTTCAGTTAAGCTCCTCGAGGTGCTCGATATGAGCATCGATAAAGCTGTTACTTTCGAGGATGAGAACAGCCCGTCAGAACTCATCGTCGCGGTAGACACCCTTGTCTCTCAGCCAGACCAGATCAAGCTCGGCTTCACGATTGACTCGTGTCTTGCCAAAGAGTCCAAGCCGTCAACGTCTGCTACGGGTCAGCTCGTAGTCACATTCGGGGACTCTTCGTCAAACGTCCTACCACCCGCGAATGAGGACCCCCCACACCTTACCACTGTCAACATCAAGAACTTTTACCGTGAATTGGATGAGCTTGGTTTCGATTACAGCAAGGACTATCGCTGCATTTACAACCTTGGGCGCGCTGATGCGAAGGCCACTGGCGTCATGGCCTTCCCGCGTCTGGATGATGGGTCTCGTCCCATTGTGCTGCATCCAGCTTCTATGGACCTGGCATTCCAAACTATCATGGGTGCCTATTCCGCCCCTGGAGACAAGCGCCTAAGGTCTATTTATGTGCCTGTTCACATTGATCGTATCAGTCTTGTCCCCGCGCTCTGTGCTTCTGTTGCAGAATCTGATTCGGCTCCCGTCGTTCACTTCAACACGGCGAACACTTACGACAAGGGTGACGTTTTGGCCGGAGATGCCACGGTCTTCTCCTCGGGCGACGACAAGCAGGTTCTCTACCGCATTGAGAACTTGCTTTTGCAGCCACTATCCAAGCCTTCCGAGGCCGAAGACCACAAAGCCTTCACCAAGACGGTATGGGGTCCCTTGAAGCCCCAGGCCCTCCTCGACAATCCGGACCTCTGGGCTACTAAGCAGGATAAGCAGGTGATTCCCATCATTGAGCGTATCTGCTACTTCTACATGAAGGAATTTGTCAGCCAGCTCACAGAAGAAGACCGCGCAAACGCTACGCTGCCTCACCAGAGATACATCTACTGGAATGAGCACGTTTCGGCCAAGGTGAAGGAGGGAATCTGGCACGAGTGGTATGATCCATCTTGGGAGTCAGACACGCGCGAACAGATCGAACAATTGGTCATAGAGTAAGTTCCGAACAATCCTCTAGTTTCGGCGCTGATCGTTGCTAACCACACATGCTGCAGGAACTCCTACCACCCTCACGTCAAAATGGCCAAGAGAGTGAGCGAGAACACTCTCTCAACGATTCGCGAGAAGAGCAATCCGTTCTTGTGGATGGACCACGACGGATTGCTGACAGAGTTTTACACGAGCTACTTGACTAGCGGCCCAGGTTGGCTGTATGGCCAGGAACTTGTCAGCCAGCTCTGCCATCGTTACCAGACGATGGACATCCTTGAAATTGGTAAGTTCAATCTTGAAGACCTACTACTGTCATGATTCTGTCATTTCCTTGCTAACGGTCCTTACCTACAGGTGGCGGCACCGCTTCGGCAACGAAGTACATCTTGGACATCCCGCAGCTGGGCTTCAACAGCTACACCTTCACCGACATTTCTCCAGCGTTTTTCGAGAAGGCCCAAGAGCATTTCTCAGCACACGAGGACCGTATGATCTTCCAGAAGCTAGACATCACGAAGAAGCCTGAAGAGCAAGGTTTCAAGCCGCACTCGTACGACATGATCATCGCCTCCTCTGTTCTTCATGCCACCCCGAAGCTGGCAGAGACAATGACAAATGTGCGGTCTCTTCTGAAGCCCGGCGGCCATGTCGTTCTGCTTGAGGCTACTCACCGAGATCACACTCGTGTCGGCTACCTGTTCGGTCTGTTCCCGGATTGGTGGGCTGGAATCGATGAGGGCCGTGATCTGGACCCCTTTGCGGACATCAACCAGTGGGATGCCATCTTCAAGCAAACCGGGTTCTCTGGTGTCGACACCCGCACACTGGATCGACATGGCAATCTTTTCCCCAACACTCTTTTCTGCACACATGCGGTCAACACAAAGGTCGCGCGACTTGACACGCCGCTTCCTGTCCCTCCCACCGACAAAGCACTCTCCCAGGTAGTTGTGATTGGCGGAGGCTCGGCGAAATCGGCTCGAATCCTGGAGGAGGTCCGGCAGACGTTGCCCGGTCGGGAGATTATTTCTCTCAAGCGGATTGAAGATGTTCTCCAGTCTGCCATCCCCCCCAAGTCGACGTTCCTTGTCCTTTCGGAGCTCGATCATGAGACCTTCTCTGGCATTGATGAGGTCAGATTTAGTGCCATCAAGTCCCTCCTGGAGCTCGCCGGCACGATTCTCTGGCTCACTGAGAATGCATGGATCGAGAACCCCTACCAGGCCATGACAGCTGGCATGCTTCGATCGGCTCGTCTCGAGTACCCCGCCACCCACAACCAATCGCTGGACGTCGACGATGCTGAGAAGCTGGATGCCCAATTTGTAGTCGAGCAACTTCTTCGCCTCGAGGAGCCTTCCGGATCAAAGGAAGACATTCTGTGGACACTGGAGCCAGAGGTGTACGTTTCCAAGTCCCGTGCCTACATTCCCCGCATCAAGCACGATATCGAGAGGAATAACCGTCTCAACTCGAAGCGTCGTGCCATCACAGCCCCAGTTGACTCTCGTCAGACGCCCGTAACTCTGCTGGCGTCCAGCGATACTCTGCATTTGGAATCATCAGAGACTTTTGGAGCAGATTCCTCTGCGGAGGCAGACCTGGAAGTCAAGGTAGACTTCTCACTCGGAAACGCTGTTCGTGTAGGCGATCTCGGATTCTGGTACCTCCTGCAGGGTACCATTGTTGGCACGGACAAGGCAGTCATTGCCCTTTCGACTACCAACGCGTCTATCGTTCATGTTTATTCCAGGCATGCCTTTGTTCTCCCAACATCCGAGGGCGTCGCTGAGAGTGCGTCTACCCTGCTTTCGACTGCGGCGAGGCTCGTCGCTCAGAGAGTCTTCGATGGCATCGCTTCCGGCGCGTTGGTTCTCGTTATGGAGCCGCCAAGCTTCTGCGTTGAAGCCATCATCGAGGCAGGGAAGAGCAGGAAAGTGCAGGTTCACCTCGCGACAACGAGCGCCTCCTTGTCTTCCTCGCTACCATGGATCAGGCTGCACTCACTCGAGACCGATGCAGGAATCAGAAAGGCTCTGCCAGTAAACCTCTCCGCCTATTATAATTTCTCGGACGAGAAGAGCGCCATCAACAGCTTGGGCTCTCGAGTGGCCAGCCTTCTGCCGTCCGTTTGCCTCAGGTTCAGCCGGGGTCATATTTTCCAGAGCTCTGCCGAATCCATCTCTTCTCTTGAGCAAGATGCACTCCAACGACCATTGGTGGAGGAGGCGGTTCTCGCGGCTGCAGCAGAGGTGCCACAAACCACTGCATTTTCTGAAGCCGATGATGAGTCTATCGTGAGATCAGCCCGCAGCATTACTGGCCTGAAGGATGCGCTTGCTACCTCTACTATAATCGACTGGAGAACCGAGACACGTGTAGCCGCGCGAGTCCGTGCTGTTGACTCCGGTAAGCTATTCTCCCTCGACAAAACCTACCTCCTCTTAGGTCTTGCCGGATCTCTGGGTCGATCTTTGGCTCGCTGGCTCATCACGCACGGTGCCCACCATGTCGTGATCTCCAGCCGTAACCCCGAGACCCCTGACCCGAAATGGCTGGCAGAGATCGAGAACTTGGGCGGCATCATCACCGTTCTGTCCATCGACGTCTCTAAGGAAGCCTCCATCGATGCTGGGCTCGCACAGATTCGACAGACGCTGCCACCTATCGGCGGTATCGCGTATGGTCCGTTGGTACTCCACGATGCTCTCCTAGCGAGCATGGACCTTTCAATGATGAATGTGCCCGTCAACTCCAAGGTCGTCGGAGCGCAGATCTTGCATGAACGCTTCTCGAGCCAGGCCAAGAACCCCCTTGACTTCTTCGTCATGTTCTCGTCTGTTGCGACGGTCGGAGGCAACCCGGGCCAGGCCAACTACACAGCTGCGAACTCGTACCTCCAAGCCCTCGCCCAGAAGCGTCATGCTCAGGGGCTCCCCGCATCGACGATTGCAATTGGCGCCGTCATCGGTGTCGGATTCCTGTCGCGTACCGGGAGAGAGGAGGAGTTTAAGCTCGCGTCTGACACTGACACGATCTCTGAAGACGAGTTCCTTACCCTGTTTGCGGAGGCGGTTGTCTCAGGACGGCGAACACCAGCCTCTCAGCCGGTGGCCATTACGGACATATCCGACCTTGAGGTGATCACCGGTATTCCCGAGTTCAGCGCGCGCCATAAGGATACCGTCAAGTTTTATGACGACCCCCGATTTGGAAACCTCAAGGTTCCCGAGAGTCGCGCCAATACGGAAGGCGCTTCAGGGGCCAAGAGCTCTGTCAAGGAGCAGCTGCTGAAGGCAAGGACGTTGGATGAGGTTCGCGATATCATTGTTGGTAAGAGTCTCTCTGATAAAGCAAGGAACTGGAGTACAATCAGGTGCTAACTTGACCAATAGATGGCTTGTCGCAGAAGATGCGCGGCATCCTGCATATCCCCGCCGATGAGAAGGTCAATGCTACGACACCGTTGATTGACCAGGGCGTGGACTCGCTCGGTGCAATCACTGTCGGATCATGGTGAGTATCTTTTCGCTTCCATTAGGCTGAGGATGCGATGGCTGACGTGCGATGTCCAGGTTTTCCAAGACACTTATGATTGATATTCCGCTGCTGAGAGTTGTCAGCGGTGCCTCAATCGCTGAACTTGCAGAGGAGGCCGCAGGTCGACTCTCGAGAGCCGCCACCCCCTTGATCGAATCCGCCGATGGCATCGTCAGCAGCGAAGATGATAGCCGCAGCGGTAGCGATTCGCCCATTGACACGTCGGATGCCACATCGATCTCAGACTTGCGAGGTGACGGAGTCGTCTTGGATGATAAGGCCGCCGCCTCGCGCCAGATCCCCTTATCTCTCACCCAGGAACACTCGTGGAAACTCCTTCGGCAACTGTCCAGCGAGCCAACCATCTTCCACAACACTATCGGGGTGTTCATGAAGGGATCCGTAGACCTGGAGCGACTTGAGAAGGCGCTGAACAAGTCCCTCCGCCGGCATGAGATCTTCCGCACATCATTCTTGCCTGAAGGAGAGCAGGTCATCCTGCCTACCCCAGTCACCCGCGTGCGCTATGTCGAGGTCAGCGATAGGCCCGCAGCAGAGGAGGCATATAAGCAGTTGGAGAATGAAGAGTACGATCTTGCCGCAGGCGAAGGCCTCAAGATCGTCGACTTCCACTGGGCCCAGGACAAGCATCTGTTCGTCATCGGCTACCACCGCCTGGTAGGCGACGGCTCGACAACGCAGAACTTCCTCGACGAGGTTGGCCAGCTATACGACGGCGCCCAACTTTCTGCGCCGCCACAATACTCCAGCTTCGCCGCGCGGCAGCGATCCGACGTCCAAAGCGGCCAGATGGACGCCGACATCGCGTACTGGACCTCCATGTACAAGACCCTCCCCGAGGTCCTCCCAGTCCTGTCGCTCCCCAGTGCCCAGAAGCAACGAGACGCAAGCAACCGCGTCGCCTGGAAGCAGCACGTCGGCACCCTACGCCTAAGCGCAATCCTGGCCTTCCGCATCCGCGAGCGCTGCAAGAAGCTCAAGGGCGTGACGCCCATGCACTTTTATCTCGCGGCCTACCACCTGCTCCTCGCGCGCCTCTCGGCAGCAGAGGACGTGGCCATCGGCATCGCCGACACCAACCGCGCCAGCATCCAGGACGTCTCGACCATGGGTTTCTTCGCCAACCTGCTCCCCGTCCGTCTGGCGCCCTTCGAGCCTGCGCAGACTTTCGCCGACGAACTCGAAGCCGTCAAGGAGCGCCTGCGGCAAGCGATGCAGCACGCCCGTGTCCCATACGGCATCACGCTCGATCGCCTCGGCCTCGCGTCCTCGTCCGCGGAGCTGCCACACGCGCCGCTGTTCCAGGCCGTCTTCGACTACAGGCAAGGTGCGGCGGAGACCGGGCGCCTCGGTGGTGCTTCTTTTACCGAGATTTGGGCTTCGCGCGAGCGCACGCCGCACGATGTTGTCCTGGAGATGTCGGACGACCCGGCCAAGGAGCCGCTTGTCACAGTCAAGCTGCAGAGCTATCTGTACGGGGAAGAGGATCCGAAGGCGTTCTTGAGTGCTTATGAGGCGATTTTGACTAGCTTCTCTGACAATACGAAGCTAGCGGTCGCCAAGGATTGAGGAGTGTGTTGGTGGTCTATTAAATGAAGTTCTCGGCTTTGGAGGCCTGATAGAGATCAATGCTATGTCTTCTTTCTTGTTTTAACAATCCCTGCATGAATCGAGTCGTGAGATTCTATGAAGACCTTTGATCTAACTCTGATTTGAAGAAGCTGGGCCGTGTCCGATTCGCGAATCCAGCATGCGTCTGACAAGCTGTCTGACTTGCTTGTTGAACTCATCGACATTGAGACTTCAGTCCATGTCGGGCTAAGCTGAGACCGCGTCGACATACACAACTCCCGCCATGGTGTGGCTTCAGTCAGCACACAGCCCAAAGTGCAGTAATCGTTCACCTAGAAATAGCCAAAATCGGGCAACGGCAATTGCAATATTGCAAATGACTCTCTTGTTGTCAAGACTGAAGCCAACTTCCAAGATCCATGTCTCCCCATACCTATAAGCCCGCATATCCCCCCCAACTCCACAAGCGCAATCTCACCTTACCCGAAAGAGGGCTTCCGTCTCCGCAACTTTGCAGAATTGCGCACGGGAAAAAAGGCCACATTTGCAAGACTTCATAATCAGATTCTCAATCTCGGCCACCAATCATCCTTGCATCCTAGGATACAGGTGATGCAGGCCCTCTGGCGCAACGGTAGCGCGTTCGACTCCAGATTGAAATATCTCGAGATGTCATCGAAAGGTTATCTGTTCAAATCAGGTGGGGGTCACTCTCTTTTGCTCGCTGTGAAGCTATTCGCAGAGGTTGTCTTTTTACTGTAGTTGATGAAGGTTTTGGCGATGGTGGTGTGAGTGAGAGAAAAGAGCTGGGCTTTTTCGTTTTTTTTTGTTTTTTTTTACCTGGGAGACATGCGGGGAAAATTGGGCTTGCAAAGGAGTTATATTTTTGTTCGGCTTGTCCAAACGCCCAGAAAGGAAACCAATCTGTGTCAGGTTCGTAGTAGGACGTATCAACTAGACCTTCAGCAGAGGGGGTTTGGCTCGAAGTGTTTCTGACGAATTGTGGTTTTCTCTGCTGCAGGCAAGCCCCTTTCATTTACCCAAGTTCTTTCATTCTCATTTCGGGCTGATTTCGGGGAAAACGGCTGTGTCCCGTGTGACGTTCGACATACAGGGAGAAGAAATCGCGATGTGGGCTCTTCCTGTCCTTGCTCCCCTCAAGAGTAGACGACCGATGTTCATCGCCTAGTCTAAGATGTGAAGAAGGCCACAATGGCAGTAGGCTACCTATGGAGAGAACTGCCTAGACGGATGAATAATGGAAACAACGCCTCACGTACGTCCATCTCTGTGAGAGAAAAATATCATAGAACAAGTTCGGATATATACTCCTAACACTTTATTATACTCCCAAGACGCCGTTGCTATGTCTGCAAAGACCTTTAAACTCCAAGTATGCCCAACAATGCCATCTCCCCTCGTGGCGACCATGGCGTGATCTCGTGAGCGCCACCCGGGCTGGCCGGGCTAGCTGAAATATAATAAACCATAACATGCGTAACAATGCAGAGTCCGCTCTCGCTCCTGAATTGCACAAAACTCCATCACCACCGAGAAATTCGGTCCTTCAGTGGCGTCGTCTCTTGGATTCGTCAATCTCCTCACCCATTTCCATAGGATTGGCAGGATCAATGTAGGCCGACAGCCTAGTATCACCCCACCGAGCACCAACAGTTACCCAGACACCCTTGATAAAGCTGTTGCCCATGACGGTCTCGCGGTGGCCTCCCCAGCGCAGTCTGTGGTCACGGTCCATAGAACTGTTACCCAAACCGCCATTTGTGACCCATTCCTTGATTGCGTTCTTGATGAATTCGATCTTGTGACGGAAGTCGTTAGCGACGGGTATTCTCTGCAATTCGGTTGGAATCTCCGGACGCCGTCGTGATGTCGTGGCCGTGCGAGTAGAACGGGCCGCCGAGGGCTTGGTCTGGAAGTTCAACAACGTCTGCAGGGGATAGGACAGCATGGCCCTCTCGTCGAGAGCGGCAGCGCCCAGGCTACCAGTAGTTGCAAGGTTCTGCGCCGCGTCCATGGGAAGGTGCCAGAAGTGACACCAGGTTCCTGCGGCGTTCAGAACGATCTTGGTGTGATCAGGGAAGTTGAACTAATACTTTGTTAGCTACGTCACGTTACTGATGTGCGACCTAAGCTTACCTGAAGATGACCGTCGCCAAAGACCCAGCAGCCAACATCGCCAAAGCGTTGGTAGAATGTGACCAGATCAGAAGGCTGAGAGTTGTTGACAGACAGTTCCATCGGCCGAATTACAGTCTCCTCGGCAGGGACCGGCTCGTCTCTGCCATAGGCAATCATGTAGTTGGCAAACTTTTTCCAGAGAATGACGCGTTCTCGCTTTCTGTGTTCATAGACGTCCTTTCCAGGGTTCAGCTTTCCGGGAGTTCCGTCTTCGTAGACCGGCACGCGGAACTGCTTCGAGGAGACAGAGACTCGAGTGAGACCTGTCTCGCCGTTGTTCTCGTAGAAGTGGATGTCTTGCTTGGGCGGCAATGGTTGATGTCTCTCGGGATACGAGTCGTCGTGACGTCGCTCAATGTGTCGCTCCGCATCACGCACAAGCATGCAAGCCGAAGGCAGTGTCAGAGTCTTGCTGGCCTCGGTCGTAGGAATATCCCTCAAAATGCATCCTACACCGCCATCATTCAAGATATAGCCGAGACCAAATTTGTTGGTGTAGTCGACCCACTTCACGACTACATTGGGATGAGGCGGGGTGGTGTCCTTGGATGAGATGATGGCCATAGTTCGAGCGTTGAGAGCGCGCTCCAACTCTGTCTGCAGCCTGCGAAGTCTCTCAAGAATGACATCCGGCTTCGAGCCTGCTACCGGCTCCGCAGGTTCTGTTGGGCTAAAAAGCGATGCTCTCTCGTTTTGGTCGGAAGAGATCTTGAGGTTCTCTAACAGCCCCGTCATGGTGACTGTGGCTTGGCTTGAAGACTGGGACGACATGGCCTGGGACGACATGGCTTGAGTGGGCAGAGCGCCTACCGACTGTGATGTCGGAAGTGGTGTCCTTCGCGCACTAGACTTCCTCAATGGAGCTTCCGCAAGCTGGTTCGTCCGAGACTCGGGCGCACTATGCTGTCTAACAGATCTCGGGCGAGGTGCCTCTGCAGGTTGAAGAGGTTGGACGGGGACTTCCGGAGGTGGTCGGGGTCTAGAAGAAATGGTAGAGCTGGCCATCGGCGGCGGTCGGTTCTGTGCTCTTTGTTGGGCCGCAAAACTTTGAGGAGGTTGGCGCAACAGGCCTGTCGGCGCCGTTTGCGAAGTTGTCATTTGAGACTCTGAGGCCGCGTCAGGGCGCGAAGACGTGGAGGCAGCAAGCGCGCGAGCGTGTCGCTTCTCGCGAAGCCAATCGTCGAATGGTCTGTAGACAACGTCCTCTCCCAGGGGGATCAGGGGAGTCAACCCAGACTTCTCCTCAGCGGCCATTTCCTTCCACGTTTGGGTGTGAACGACCTGCACCGGTGTCCAGGGACCAACACCGCAATCTCTGCACATGTCCTCCATGTTTCTCTTTGTGACCGCCTGCAACTGAGCACTCATGCGGTTGGTGTAGAATTCGGATCCATCGGGAGGCAAAGTGAGGAGTCTGGTCGTAATATCGGCCTCAACGGGGAAGTAGCCGCAAGTGAAAAAGGGATGCTGAACAATGATGTCTGGATCGGGTCTCATATCCGCGTCCTCGAGCATAGTGGCTACACAGTCCTTGGCCTCCTCGCTGATGTACTTTTGCGACGTCTCCGGGTTCGGCCATTCGTAGTCTCGTTCTCTCGCTCGGCGATAGATTTCTTCGGTGCTGGTTGATTGGAAGGGCGGCTTGGATGTCAACATGGCAAACCTGTTTCAGTTAATAACGACCACGGAGACATATTGAGTTTGAAGAATACTGACATGATGATGCCCAAACTCCAGATGTCCACCTGGTGGTCATGGCCCTTCTTTCCCTTTTGGAGAATTTCGGGGGCGATGTAATTGGGTGTGCCGCACAGAGTTGTCCTTCTTATGGTCTGCATATCGCGGCCGGTAACAAGCAAGGCAGCCAGTCCAAAGTCGCCAACCTTGGCGTTCATTCGGTGGTCGAGGAAGATGTTACCCATCTTCAGATCTCGGTGGATGATACCTTTTCCATGCATGTACTTGATGGCTCCGGCGACTTGCACTGAGTAGAAACGAACCTCAGGCTCAGTCAACCCCTTGCGCTTCTTGACCATGTCCATGAGAGAGCCGTTGGTGCAGAGCTCGAGAACAAGGTACATGCAGTCATGGAAAGAGAATGCCCTGAAGAACTGGACAATGTTCTTCTGGTTCATCTTCGAGTGGATCTGGAGTTCGGTTTGGAACTACATGGCGCGTTAGACTTGAGCCTTGAAAATGGGAGTGGAGCTGTGATGGACTGACCTTTTGCATCATCTTGGACGGCATCTGACTCCGCACAATCTTCAGCGCGTACTTCTTGCGTTCCGGCAGAAGGTACCCCTGGTAACACACAGCGAAACCACCCTTGCCGAGCATTCTGCCGACCTGGTAGACGGCTCCATTGGGACGGTCGTTCGCCGGAGGCTCGTCGATACTCGCTGGTGGTACCGGTGGCGGCTCCTTGTCCTTTGCAGCCTTGAGCTGGGCGACAGGCTTCGACGTCTTCATTTCGATGGCCTTGGGCATACGCTGAGCGTTGGCGTCCCTAGGCGACAATGCCTCCAAATCGAGGCCCCCTTTCGCCACTAGTCTATGGGCCATGACTGTGGCCTCGGGCTTTCTGGTAATCGATGCAGTTTTGAGAGGAGTATGACTCTCAAAAGCGACGGGCGCTGAATTGCGAATTCAAGGTCGGCCCAGGGTGGTGGACGGGAAGGGCCTGTTACGGACTTTGGTTAGCACACATGGGGGAATGCGAAAAATGGCAGGAGGTATAGTAAAATTTGCACTGTCGAAGAGTTGGAAAGAGAGACCGGAGTGCAGTCCATGTGCCGTCATACGCATCTTCAAGCGCAAAAGACCACAACCGAGCGGGCAAGGCAAGTAGGAACAACACGGACGAGGGTTGTTTACGTACCAGTCTCACAAAGAGATCATGTGCAGCAAATGCAAATGCTTAAAAAAGACCGAAGCTCGCAAGCAATACAAGAGCGACGGCGAACACACGGCTGCTGACGAGACGAGGACGTCGCAGAGAACTTACCACCTCAGGAAGTCAAGAGTTGTCGGGATGAAGTGCCGTTGAGACGAACGGTAAACTTTTGGTAATGGGGGTGGAGTGAAGGACCGGGTTGGTGTGTACCGCTGCTGTTGACCTTCGCTTCGCGCCGTTGCCTGGGGAACTACGAACTGAAAGCGCTGTGGGGAACAACTAAGACTGGCCGATGTTACTCCACAACGAACCTCTTTCCTTTCCTTTTTGGCAGCCACAGTGACTGCCTTAGGTAAGCACCATCGGATATAGAACAGGACATCTTCCTTTGCGACCTCAACATGTTTGTCATTTGCATGTCTCCGAGGTCTTCGTTTTTTCAGATAGATTTTTCTGGCTACCTTACTCGTTACTCAAGAATAAGGTTCGGCTCCAAAAGTAACTTGGCCAGATGGGCATGCCTCAAGACAGACCAACTTATCATCGGGAGCTTGGGGACCAGCACTCCGGGTGGCCGGGGTCCGCTGGACATGTCGGCTCCGAAGGTGGAAATGAGCGGAATATCAAATCAGCGTCCTCCGACTTGTTCCTCCCCGGGGCCCCTCCAGCAGCCCCAAACGTCGAACATCGACGTCAGCTGCCTAGAATGACTCCGATAAACCCGGAACACCAAGCGTGTTGACATTTCAAAGCACCCAGCTTCTCCAATAGCTTTTTATCTTTTTCGCCTTCAATTGGCCTTTGAATGCTTCAACTGACTGGAAAAACAAACCGCCAAGACGAGGCCAAGCGTAGTAGTACGGAGCTCCCGGAGCTCTCTCCCGACCAACCCTCCCGTCACTCATTCGGTCCTCGACCATAACCCCACCATGGTGCCATTGCCTCTCTTCAAGCTCGCTGCACTCTTTGTGCGACACATTTCCAAATATGGTGCCGTAAGCTGGAAATCTCCTATTCTCTACTTGATGACCTCAGCAATCTTCCATTCCTCCCGGCCCCGAAACTAATCTTGACATCGTGAACAGAACCAAATAAAAGCACAAGCCCACGACCATCCCAAGTTCCGCGCCTTCGCCGCACGTTATGGCCAACACATACATCAACTCAATATGCGCCTATCGGTAGCCCTTCTCCGCAATCCAGACGCCGAGCAACGCGCAAAAGAAAAGGCTGAGGCGGCGACCGTCAAGACGAAAGAACAGGTCGAAAAGGAGGAAGCTAAAGCGCTGAAGGCTAAGCTCGCAGCTGAGAATGCTGATCTTGCGAAATCGAAGGCCGCAGGCTCTATATCGGCCTCCGCAACTCCTACCTTGTCATCCTCCTCTGCCTCCGGCACCAGCAGCGCCAGCAGTAGCACCACTAGTGGTAGCAGTAGCAGCAGCTCGACCAAGGAACGCCCCAGATTCAAGAGCGTCTGGCGACGAAAATTTCGCTCTCTCCCCGAAGCCAAGGCAGTCGACCTCTTTGCCGACGTCATTGGAGACACCTTTATTCTCGGCGTTGCGAGCGCCATCATCCTCTACGAGTACTGGAAGGCGTCCCAGAAACCCGACCAGAACGCGGAGCGCATAAAGGTCCTCGACGCCAAGCTCGAAGAGCTCACCCGCCGCGAGGAGGCACTCTCGCAAAAGGAGGCGGAGCGGACTGAGAGGTATCAGGCGCTCGAGACCGCGCTCAGAGAGCTGAGGGATCCCAAGACCAAGAAGCCTCTGTTGCCAACCCTGCAACTGTTGCCGGCGTCAACGGAGACGCAGACGTCAAGTGCGTCCGCGCCGTAGAGATCTTATATCTCTTTGTTTAGCGGGTAAGAAGTAGGAGAAGGGAGGAGTGAGGAGCGAGGAGCGAGGTTTCTGTACGATTTTCATCATGATACCAATCTAGCGGGCGACAAATGTCTCCGCTCTGTACCAATCTTATACGGGCAGGTGTAAGTCAAAATAGCGAGGAGTTTGGAAGGACTACCTCACTCACGGAAAAGATAGAAGAAAGAAGTTGGCAGGAGTGGTCAGGTAGCTCTTGCCATCTCTAGACCACATACTTGACTCACCTCACATAGAAAGATCCCAAATAACATTCCAAAAACAATTCAAAGACAGTACAAACCATTCCCATTCTTGAATCTCATCCAACGTTATTCTATCGCAAGATCGCATCCAACGTGAGCAAATCAACAAACACTAGCAGTCTTCACCATACAGAATGTCTACAGCCTCTACCGTGGTCTTCTGCTCCTCCCTCCGCCAACGTCCCGAATGGGCACCAGTGATCTCCCTTCTAACAAGCAACACACCGCCCTTCCAAGGTACGGAGAAACACTGAGAAAGCCAGATATACCACACGTTCCTTTTCCTTTCTCTTCTCTTCCACGTTTTCGTTCACTGACAGGAGGAAAAACAACAAAGAAAGCAGATTAAACACACACGACATTGCCCTGCCCATCTCCCAAAACCGGTCCTACCGCGTTATCCTCCTCTCGCCAAAAGACGTTGGCCAACAAGCCACTGAGAAGCGCCTCGAGCGTCTCTACAGCCTTGACGGAGGCCGCAACATCGCCGTCATCTTCCTCATCGGTGAAGTTGTCCATCAGGCTGATGCGATACGGGCTTTCATGGAGTTCAAGATTGAGTAAGTCTTGGGCAGAAGCAAACTGCCATTAGACACCTGCACACAAACACACGTACCAACACCCCTTCATTCCGGGCATGTTTTGCAGTATTGTAAAGAAAACTAACAAGAGTTCTACAATTAAGCCTGATGGAGAAGAAGCTGGACCTACTTGCAGTCCCTCTGACGTCATACATGGAGCTTCCGTCAACGCTTGCGTGTGTCCGGAAGATGCTCGCCGCAGTACTGCCCGCTCTTGAGCCCGTCTTTGGCTCTTCTTCGTTCCTCTCTCTAACCCAAAATCCCTCCATCGCCCTAATCCCGTATATGGCCGGCAGCAACAGGCCCCTCTCAGAACACAGCGCCAACCTTCTCAGCGAAGTAGGCCAGTCCCCACGCGAGATTGCCGCCCTCGCCGGTACAGAGGAGGGCAGGGTGCGAATCCTGGACGTGTTGGGTCCCCAAGACGGCCAAGCCATTCTGGGGTTCCTGGCGCTAGAGAGGTTTGCTTAAATTTGAATATTGGACGTGAGCTCGGGAGGACTGGAGTGGAATTGGAGGTTAAAGAAGCATGGTTAGCCGTTTGAGACCTTGCCGATGCCGTTGACAAGTGGAGAGGAGATGATCATGGTGCGACGATGGGCTATCTTGTTCTTCGGATGGCAGGTCGGTATGCGGTATCTGGCGTCACTTGACGTGTGTATACGACTCTAGGTAGATAGGAGGAATACCGATTTCCTGTGGCAGTTGCTCAGCCCCCTCAACTCGGTATCGCGACCATCTTGGTAAGGATCGTGATAAGGGGGAAATGGGGACTGGAGAAAGGGGATTCGGGGAGGCTGTGTTCCGGGTGCATCACCAAGGGTAGACATGAGACGAGTCAACGAAGAGAAGGGGCTCGGTAGTTGAGCGTCGAGAGGGGATGGATGCTATCACCATTCGAACCTGTGGGGAGGCAGCTTGGACCAGAGACAAGACTCTGACAGCTCCGACGAGCCACCCGAACTAACAATGCACACGGGAAATGGCACAAGAGTGTTGAGACGAGAGAGAGAGAGAGAGAGAGAGGGAAGCTCGGAAGGATGGTGAAGGGAAACGGCTGCCTCTCCCAGAAGGGTACTACTTGACAGGCCGTTCGTGCCGCAGAAAAGACCAGTTGACACTGACAAGCTGACAGCCATGGAACAGAGACGTTTGGAACTCCTGCTAGAAATTTTACCCATCGACGCCTTTTCGTCTCACTAAAAAAGACGGGATGAAAAGGTATGGGAACCCTTCCCGGCATCCGTGCGTGAGCAAGCAGAACGAGGGCTCTGCTCTGAGCCATTCTTGGTTTTCTCTGACGGCTAAGACGGATCATGGCTTGCCCTAGGTGCGTGGCATGTTGCGTGTGATGGGATCTGGGAATGTGTGCCAGGGGAGCAAGAATTGTGAAGCATTTGATGTCGTGGTGTGTGCTTGGGTCTCCCCTTCCCCCTCCTTTCCCGGCTGTGCTGAATAGCCGTGCTGATCAAGGGAAAACCATTATGGGAGCCCTTGTCAGTCTTTTTTCTTATCATTTTCATCCGACGAATATCAGAGGAAAAGAAGAGGGATGAGAGGTGAGAGTGCCTGTCAAATGAGGGGATGATCTGGCATTCTAGCGGAGTGCGATGTTTGATCAGACAGGATCGATCGGGCTTTCAAACGTCGATAGAGGGGAGGGGAGTTGCATCGTGAAGCCTATCCGGTCTTGGCTCTTGATTGATGTGCAACTCTCATATTGAAGCACGCACGTATTGAATCTCTAAAGTCTTGGTTTGCAGTCATTGTCAGTCTGGTTTGTTTCATTTTCCCATTTTTGGTCGTTTATCAATCGTTTTGCCTTGTTGGGAAGCGTCGTCGATCTTGCACAGTCTTGACTCTGTTGGAAAGAGAAGCTCTAGAAGTGTTCTTAGGCCCTGCCCACCTATTCTCATCCTCTTCGCTTTCTGTGCCTCTTGTCCCTCTCTCTCCCTCTCTCTCGCTGACTACAGAGACATTCGAGGTGGGGATTGCCATGTTTCTCCTAGGGTCTGGTTTCTGAGGGAAACCGGGGTGCACACTGGAAGGAGAAGTGGTGGAGGACTGACATGGGGGCACACGTTGTTGTGACTTCAGAACGGCACTCATCACCCGATCCTCGACTCGTGCCCTGCAGAGACCATCACCACACATCCGCACCACATGCCAAAAAAAAAAAAAAAAAAAAAAAAAAAAAAGTGTCGTCGGTGTGTGACCGAATGCTCCGGCAGGGGAGCCCTGAGGTGGACCGGACCAAGGGCGAGGGGGCGGACAATCCCTTATTGCTTCCGTATTGCAGCCATATTGTAGCCGTTATTGCACCCGTATTGCGGTATACTTGGCTGTGATATCGCACCAAAGCTTGTCGACAAGACGCTTAGCTCGGATCGGATCCTGAAAAGATATGCTTATCTGACTGTTGAACTCTGCACGTGTGATGGGCACAAGCTTTGGCTTATCAGTACTGCTAATAATACTAAGAGACAGACAAAGTGCTAAGCGGCGGAGGGGCATCCGTTTGCTTCGTTCTCGCATCCAAGAATTAAAACTAGATGTTTGCCTGCCAACGTCGGTGTAAGCAGCTCTCGGTCGAGTTGATCCGGCGCGGGGAACTGGCGTTAGGTTGCATGGCACGAGCAGATCTCGCCAGCCATTGCCGTGGTGCCATGCTGCCAGAACAATCCGCTCATGGAGTATCTATTTCTGGCTCGGATATCGGTGAGCTAACAGTACATCCAGGGTGGAATTGAACCAATTGACCGCCTTTCAAGGGTTCAATTGTTCAAATCGACAGTCCAGCCTCCGGCATCCAGTCGTGCCCAGTGTGAAGCGAAATCAATAATGCTGTGATTGATGCCAGGCGGTTGCAGTAGCACAAGTGACGACTCCTCCTTCAATCGGAAGCAACAGCTCTGCTGGTTGGTCAGGCCGCAAAAGAGGGTGGGCCGCGGCCATGTGGGTTCCTGCGAGGGGAACCAATGAGCCGCGCCGCTGAACCGCCCTTCTAAATAGAGTTGAACACACCTCATTGTCAGCGGCGGGTTTTCCCCCTTCCTCTGTTCTCGGTAATGCTTTTATTTTTAGTCTTGATCGAACAGAACTGCGTTCGATGCAGCGGAGCGAGTGGGCGGGATGTGCAGCAAGTCTCATCGGTGAGAGAGATTACAGACTTGCACATTTGACATTGACCAAGAGTCAAATAAGACCATGCAGGCCAGCCACTTGTCTGCCGAGGCGACCTCGATATGAGCAGTTTTCTCGCCATGCTGCTGGGGTCCTCTTGGCCATACCTAGACTATCGATTCGAATCGTCACAACCCAGCAGTCGTGACGACGCTGAATCAGGCAAGTAACGAGTATAGCAAGTTGCTATTATCGGAGAGCACGCAGCATGCAGTCTACCGTGCTCGACCCAGAAGCACGTCCACACATGCGTCTCTAGAGACGTAGGTGACACACAAGGATTCGTTGCCCACGCCAAAGCCGTTGATACCGAGGATTCCTCTGGTGCAGGACTGGCGGCGAGAGGCTGATACCGTGGCGCACCACACTGCAACTCCGAGCAGCCAAGGTGAGGGGAAAGAGAACGACTTGCACAATGGCACTAAAGGCCCTTCACGCGGACGCCAAAGCTTTAGTGTCTTGTCTCGAACGGTCGATCGGAGCTGTCAGCATCGACTCTCGGGCACTTGCCGCAGAAAGCTGACGATGCCAGCCAATGTGCCAGCTTATCTCGGCGCTTTGAGAACAACGGCTTTACATCCCAAAAGGATCATCTGAAGAGTCAGGAACGCTCGGTCTTATTGCGCCGATGACGGGGTAAGCCAGCAAGACGCCCAGACTTGAGCGTCACTGGTAGCGGGAGCAAAGCCGCCTTCCAAAATGCAAGCTTGTGCCCTTCTCCTTCGCGGCTTTAAGGTTCTGTCGACAGGGGTTGCTTGACAGGTTCTGATGGCAACGTCACAAACCCTAGTGTGGTCTGTCCTCAGTCTGAAGTGCAGCGTTCATCCTCAATGCTTCGAGTCGTCTGTTGATCGGGTCAAGAAGACGTCGACTAGACTCAGCAGGGGCCTGCTCCATGAGACGGGAGACGTTGAGGAGGCATGCGTTCATGCGGGTTTAGAGGTTTGCTGAATAGGACGACACCACCGTCTTTCCTCGGTTGTCTTCCGCGCCGTTAGCTGGCAGCCATAGTAAGGCTTCGTTCGGTTCAGCAAACAGTCTTTCCGAGAATGGCAGTGGGGCTCTGTGGTTGGGTATATCATATGGCATGTCGGTCGGCCGGTCAAAGAAGTCATGGAACCTGCAGTCGTCGGGTTTCGATTGATGATTCTCCATCAGCTGCTGTGCCGTACACTAGTCCCCGTCATCGCGGGTTTGGGACTTTGGACAACGGTGAAGAGCGTGGCCGCTGTGGAGTATGCGACGGACCCCAAGAGCAGACGAGCAGGGGGGGACAAGAGGGAAAAAGAAAGAAAAGTCCGATCCTTGTCAATATCTCCCATGTGGCATGCCCAGCTTTTGCCAACCTCCAGCCAGAAAGGGACTCTCTCGAGGGCAATGGGACCGGGGTCTGTGGTCCATGTTGCGTTGCGGTCCAAAGGTGGACAGGGGGGGGTTTCGTGGTGGTGGTGGTGGAGGACAGGGTTGGGTGTCGGACGAGACGGTGACTGCGACCGGGCAACGAGAGGCCGTCCCATCTTCTCAAACCAGCTGTGCCTCAGCACAGCCATTCTGGAACTTGCGTGTGTCTGAGGCGGTTTTGATCAGCCGTCTCAGAGTTTTGCAGAGGATCAGATGGCATGAACTCAGCGTGGGCGTTGGTAAGTCGGGGATGGGAGGCACGAAGGGCACAATGGGACAATTTTCTTCTGGTCTGAAGTTCGGGGTGGCCTAGGCTGTGTCGTATCGTCTTGTCGAGTCGAGTGGGTGCGCGATCTCTGTTACGCTTTCGACGCCATCTGGAAGATCAAGAGAGTTCGTGCGACAGGCGAGTGCGGACGAAGCGAAGAGGGTGTAGAGAGACGTACCTCTTACCTAAGCAGTCCTCCTTCCTCAAGTGCCATTGTGATGACCTACTTGGAAGGAGAAGACCACGATCATTCGGACCGCGATGCTTTTCTTAGACACTGCTACCGTCGTACCTTGCGAATAAACGTAAGGCAAGAGCTCGGAAACAGGCAATGGCGGGTATTGTTTCTTTTGGCCTGTTTATCCTCTCCCGCTCGACTATCGTAGATTTCTCTGCATTTTCATTTGCTGAAATGACGGAAGCTAGATTAATTAAATCGACCTCTGGCCTGTAAATCATCGACCTCTCCTCCAAAAGTGGCACATTGCTTCGCTGGAGGCTGGGGTCTTACAGGGCACTTACTGACTACTGCGACGGCAGATGGCCTGCTGTAGTGTAAGTGCAACCCCCTCTGCGGAGTTGCAATGGTGAGGTAGAGTGCGCGCTGTGCTGTCCATCTTCTGTGCGTGAGGTGGCTGACCAGGAGTAGGGTTTGTGAGGCGATACCTAGACGAGAGGGCAGAGCTGGGATGACAGGAAAGGTACCTAAATCTGCCCTGTCTTCCTGGTGGGAAAAAAGGTACCCATCTCGTCCCTTCCTCCCACTGGGATGCGATGATCTGACGGCACACCAGACGGCCCCAGTCTCACCCCTGGTCCCTTGGCAGGTGCGGTCTGCCAGAGGAGAAGTGGCAAGGGGTCTCATTGGTCCGAGCCCATTCTCTAACCGCCCACGACTTGTGCGTACGGGTCCAATCACGTCGATGCGTTAACCACCTCTGTCACTCGACCCTTTCCTAGGCCCCTCCGACCTCGTCAACTCACTCAACATTGCACACCAAAACTCCCATTCGGATGCTCTCTCATTACTTGTTCGAGCCATTCACGCACACCGATCCTCAACTCGCCTAGCCCCGCGCCTCGCCTCGTCCTCCACTACCTATATTGCTTGCAGGAAACAATGTCCCTCAACTCTCTCACCGCGGCCTGGCCTCGCCTACCCATCCTGGGCAACATTGCATCCGTACCCGCCCGCCTACATCCTTCACCCACGCATATCCCCCATCATGCAGTCAAGTGACGGCTTCAGCCTCCCTGGGGGCCCTGGCTGAGCTATCTCTAGTGCCTAATCGCCCTTCTCCAAAACCTGTGTGACCACTTTCAACTGGCTCTCGACTGTAATTCCATGGCCGGCCATGGCCGTGGCTGGGTCGGGCGGGTATGGTAGCGCCGTAACGCTGCCATGCCAGACGGACGTATGATGCCGCTTTCTGCGCCGCTTTCTGCACTGCACTTCTTTCTTGCATCCAATCCCGCCTAGATGGACCGACCAGATCACCTACCCCGGTTTTTCTGGTCCGACCAGACTCCCAAAAGCTGGCGTTTCTTAAAACTCGTCTACCTCCATCTTTCGCGTGTGCGACCAGCCGTCGTTTCTGTCCCTCTTCCACCTCCTTGCTTCACCAGTGTCCCTGACAACCGTCCTGTCTGATCATCAAACAACCTTCATGCGACGGGGGCGATAGAGCACAGATCCCTGACGAACATCACGTACCAAAGACTCCACCACAACGCTTCACCATCCCGACTACTGCCTCATACCCCGTACCTCACCACGGTCTCCCGGCACTAGGAGAATATCTCCCACAGAGCCTCAACGCAAAGAGCTTCAGCCTTCAGATCCTACGATATCCTGGTCCACGAACATCACACACGCCGTCACCGCTGCCCACATTTCTTGGAACACTGGCCACCACCTCCACCAACACCACTACCACTACCACCAACATCATCGCCAACGCCAGCCTGACCCCTGGCTTCGCCTCTTAGTTCTGCTGGCTGGTCTATAGCAGAACCAAGACCCCTCGCGCAACAAGAAACGTCTCAATGCCGCTCGGATGCCCGCTGTCATCATAGATCAGATTGCCCGTACCTGGCTCTCTAGAGAACTCGCTCCAGCATCGAGCCAGAAACACCCGACACTGATACCCTGCCCAGCAAGCTAGCCCGGGGCCCATTCTGATACAAGCCTCAACCAGCTTTTCTGTGCGGCTCGGCGTCTTGCCCACTGGGCTGGACCAAGCCCACATCATCCTCCACCTCTTACACAGCCAGGCACACACCAGCAACCGCACCCTGGTCTGGGTCTGCACCTTCAGTCCAAGTCGTCTCATCGATCCCGACTTTCTCGTCTCAATATAGATCTGTCGTCCTCCCCCGCCTCATTGATCGGTTGACACTTCTCGTCCTTCCTCTTGACCTTCTCTTCTTTCCTCGCCAGCGCTGCGCACTTGCCTGTCGATATCCTTCTTTTAATATCGACACTCTTCGGTTCGAACGCCTTCACTTCTTTCTTCAACCCGCAGGTCCGGTACCTATTCCTTTCCTTTCGCCGTTGCACGGTTTGCCTTTCGACCTAGTCGCCTTTTACACCACTACCCGATTTATTCCAAAGAGAGGGCTTCGATCTCGACGACCGCTTCCTTCATTCCTTTCATTCACTGGTTCAACGGGTTTATTTGGGAAAAGAGGACGGACACAGCAGGGTCGCAACAAAAGTCACCAACGCAACAGGCAAAAGAGGGATCAAAGATTTCACAATACAACTGAGCAATCAGAAAGAGAGAGGAAAAGAAGGCTCCACGCAAAAAGTCAATAACATTATTTAATTGAGAAACATGGGTCGTCTTATTAAGAACCATTGGGCTCGGCTCATTGTCATGAGCGCGGCAGCTTGTAAGTTGGACATCTCCATGAAGGCCAAAGCACCTTGGATACTAACAATCCGCGAACAGACCAATTTGCCGCTGCTCTCGAGGGCTTCTTCTGGCCCAAGATCTTCTGGGACTTCTTGACTAAAACGCTGGACCCAGCTGTCAAGCCCGTGCCGGTGTTACAAATTATCAATCTCATCATGGCACTATTCATGGTGGCCCTGGAGTGGCCTTTGGGATTCATCGCCGGCTCAGCAATCCACCGCAGTCTCGAGTTCCGCCTCATCATCCTCCCTCTCACCACCCTCGCCGCCGCCCTCATCTACCAGGGTACCAACTCTGCTCTTTACTACATTGTCGGGTTGGTTGTTTACTTTTGGGCCTACAGCGAAGGAGAGGTACGTTCACCTGCAGCCCACAACACACTAGACACCATACTAACTTTGTCAACCAGATTATCTGCGCTAAGCCCTGGACCCTTCCTCAAAGAGGCCGCAATGGCTCTCGCGTATAGACTGCACTCGCCTCTTCCCGCCACGGATACAATTGTCTCGACCTCGCACGGTACAATGAACTACCTGTCAGAGAGACTTCCGTATACCCCCACGGCGAGCAAGTCCAAACAAACTCGGGAGAATCGACGAATCCTCAACATTCTTTCCCTGAGCTATCATGACAACTTGTTTACTACTTTTCCTTTCATGTTTATAACGATCCCAATCGATATCACGGCATCCAGCATCGGCGTTATTCCTGACGACAAAGGGTTATATGATTCTTCCTCAACTCTCGGCTACGACGGCTCGATAACGGTATAACCTTATTTGGCCTTTTTCCTCTTCAAGTCATCTCAGCGTGGGCATACTTTCTCGTGGCGGTTGCGGTGGTGGTGTGTGTGGGTGGATGTGGTCGTCGTTCGTCCTGTTTCGCATCGGCTTACCATGGACTTACACATAGTGGGTGGCGTGTGGACCGGGGCATGGGTCAGTTGGGGGCAGCCGCAGGACTAGAGACAGGAGGCTCCTTGGCACATCGCTTTTGGAGCATGCCACCTCCCATGTTCTGGAGGGTGCATTGTATCATCCCGAAGCTCGGCTCAACAACACATTCGGGGTGGGGGATCCTGGTTTGGGGGGATGGGATGAGAAGAGAAAGGGAGACGGGACACTGGAGAGAGATTCTGCCTGGAATAGCCGCCGCTCAAAGAAAAAAAAAACGCTGTCAAGAGACGTAGCCTTGGTCTATAGAGACCGAAGCAACCAATGCTACACCTAATATCAAGACAAAAACAATTCCAATGAAAAAAAATCAACAGAACCAATGCCCAGTTGTCACCGCATCTCCATGAACTTGTGAAGTGACACGATGTGACGGCAATCTCGGCAAACAAGCTTAACATGCGGTGACATGTGGCATACAGCGACATGGGGTTCATCCCTCTCAGATTGCCTCTCGGGACATACTAATTCAGAAAAAGTCAAAGATTATTAACTTGCCGCTGTACCGTAATGGTCTCATAGCTCACGGCTCATGGCTCTTGGCCTTTCCTGCCTCTCTTTCGCACTTATACTTTCCCCTCGCAGCCAAGAAAACCGATGGTTTGCAAAGAAGCATCAAGGTTTTTCTTCTTCATCATGTTGCTTTGCATCGACCCTTCTCTCTCCCAGCTGAAAAGGGTGGGTGTGTGGATGACTTCAAGGTATTAATCAGTGACAACACACACACACACACACACACACACACACACACAACCTACTCGTCCCCCCGACGAAGAAGAAAAAAAAAAGGATCAAAATGCCCCCTTTCAGAGTTTGAGGCGCGTGGAGGCAACGAGCGAAGGGGCGCGGGGCGGCTATAGGCAGGGGTCGGCGGGGGGCCAAGGCACCGCAGCGGCTCCCCGAAACACTTTGGAAACGGGCGCGCGCACCACATCACAAGTCCACACGAGAGAGATAGAGAGAGAAAACCAGCCAACGGACCAACGACGCAAGGTCCAGCACAAGGAACACACAGCGGACAGCTAACGGGGACCGCCGCCCCCAACGACTCGTATCCCCACTTTTGACAGCCTTGCACATATTCGAATACATTAAAACCGTCTTTATATAGACTGGGTTTCTCGCCCATTCCTGGTGGTCAATTTACATGAAGTAAGCCTGACCAAGCCGTCGGAAAGAGCTTCTTTTGAAGAATCACCCGGTCGGTCAACCATATCGCGAAAGCCTGCTCAATAGGCAGTCAATCTCGTCAGTTTCCGGGTCTGTCGGCCGGATCCAGTGACTGGCCAAGCTTTTGAAGCTTTGTGACCGCGGTGAGTTTCTCAGCAATTGTGCAGCAGGCTATTATGTAACCATCAGTTCCACTTCCGTTCGTCACAATTAGTCACAACCATGAGATGTACAAAATAATACAGTGGTTTGAGAGAAGTCATGTGCTCATTATTCAGCTATTCGCTAAGTAAACCCACGCAATCGACTCCATGCTTGACCATGGCGTCGATGTTGAACCCTTGTCGGGCTCGAAGGAGATTTTTAAGGTTATCACACCTTGTACATCATCCTCCATTGCTAGTATTGGTTGATGAGAGACGCGATTAATGTTCCCTTTCAAGACATCTTCTTTCGGATTGTCGTTGTTAGGCACGCTCCGCCGAGCGCAAAGCCTCGCTGCCAGCGCTGCACACACCACCCCAGACCTCAACGCCTCAAGACACAAACGCCCGCCTTTGGCCGCTGCAATGTCGAGCGCCAGGAAATCGTCTGGGTCGGCTCACATGAGGTCTAAACCTTCTAAAGATTGTGTCGGCCGACCGTATGTGACAATGCCTCCCCTTGCGTCTAGCCTCACGCGACTGCGGCGGGGGTTGAAAGACCTCTCTAGTGGGCGACCATGCCTCCTTGGGAATCGTTCTTGGGACCCTGGCGGTCGGCAAACTGTTGATAATGTGTCAGCAAATTGCACTTTGTACGATGGATGAATTTCAAGTGCCTTACCTCAACGTTTTGAGAATCGCCCTTCTCAAGGATTATCTTGATCACGTCGTCGTCGACGCTGGTGCCAAACTCATTCTCGAGTGTGGACTTGGAAGCGGTGTCGTACTGGCCCTGAGTACCTTGCCTAGTTCATCAGGTTAGCCGCTGTGCGTAATGCGTAGACATGCGGGGTAGGCCGTTCAGGTGTCGATTGTTTGGAAGCAAGCGACTGGAGGTCCGACCGCTCTGTCACCATGCCATAGGCCGGGGCCAACAGAGTGGCAGACTTCAAATCCAATTGGCTTGATGACAGAAAGACAGCCAGGCGGAGCAATGGTGATGATTGAGAGGAGAATAAAAATGTAGAACCACTACTTACTTGTGCGTGACGAAGATCTTGTACGAGGAAACGAAGTGTGCCAGAGGAACAGTCTTGTCGGTCTTCCACTTCGTGTAGAGCTCGGGGTCCTCAACAAAGATGATGAAATCGTCCTCCTGGCCCTTGAAGTGGACCTTGGTCTGGGAAGCCTCGCCGCGAACCATTTTGACTGTGATAGTGGTGGGGTGTGGTATGTGTTGGTAAGTGATTGAATGATGAACTCTCAATGGAGGTCTTGAAGATTGATAGTAATGTGCGTGTTAGACGAAGGTCGCTAGATATCTCAGGAAGTTGTTTGTTTGGTTGATTGATCTGAAGAGAAGAATACAGAAGGGACCTCAAGGTATGCCGTACCCTTTTAATATGAGAACAAAGCTGAAGAGGGGGAGCTTCCCCCAGCTACGCTAGGAGGAGAGGGCGAGAGCTGGGAAGCTCGTGATTTGGAAGGTACGTCATAGGTGCGGGAACACGCGACTGCCTTTCATCACTGCCCCGCCATTGGGGAGCTTGCCCGGGCAGGGAGCGGGGCAGCAATGTGCTCCGTGCATCGCCCAGCTGGTCCAGGCACGTCGCCAAATTCGCCCATTAGGTACCGGGGACTCTGAGCGTTCCTGCATCGCACCACTGTAGTACGTCACCGCTAATCTCAGACCAAGGAAAATAGGCCAAAGGGGTGTTTACACGTTGCGTGAACTTGCGGCTGGAATGATCTAGATGGGGAAGGAAGCGTTTGGCCCAAGGTACCTACTTACCTTGCCATGTCCTCTCCTGCCTCACTGCCCGCGCAATTGAACCGCCCTTGTTGTCCCGAGGTACCTTACATCAATGCAAGTCACCTCACTGGCCACGGCAGCTTGCTATGGTGGGGCTGACAACGGGAGCTCAACATCCACTGTCCCAAGAAGGTCCAAGACATGGAGACGGACGTCCGCAGAATGAGGCATTGCCAGGAGTCAAGCCTCACGATGGCATCACTGACATCATCTGGTGTAACTTCAAGGTGTGTAGCTTATTGCGATGGATAATGATCAATTTAACGCAAAGGGTATCATTATACTCTCGTCAACTCGACGACAAAAACAATCTGAGCTAAGAATAGCCTCCTATGAACTTGGTGCTTTCTCCCCTCAGAGTTCCTCAATGAATATAGCCAATGGGCATAAGATAGTGACGTGCAACCTCCTTCTTTCGCATCCGATTCTCGTCTCTCTGGCATAATTCATTCACTGATGCGTACGAAGGGCCAAAAGCTACGGCTCGTCTTCATCGAAAGAAGCTTCGGATGCCCTGCACCAAATCGTCTCTGTTCAATGTGCCAACCTTTCCCCAGCGCATCGACGCCTTGTGAGACAGCTTGGGCGCTTTTGGTCCCCGAACTTGATGCTCCCTGCTACCTTTCTCTGAAGGGCAGGGTGATCTTCTGTCGGTGATTTGGTCTCGACGCACTCGCGGCAAGTTGTTTCCCGACGCAGTGCGCAGAATGGATGGCCTCGACGTGTACGCGTCCCCAGTGTACATATGCTCCAGCCGTAGTTGTTCGACTGGATCTGCATGAACAAGAATTTTGGCCGGATTCAACATCGGGGTCGCCGGAGCGCTAACCGTGCTTATAACCTCGACATCGTCGTCGATTTTGGGCAAACGATTCTTTGTTGTTTCACCAGCCTCGTCGTCGAGACCGTGCTCGATGTTTGAACTCTCGCCTCTGTAGAGCTTTGAGGCATGTCCGTGATGCGCATTTTCTTGCTTCTCTCCCACATCGTCGTCAGGAATGAGCTTGCCCATGCTAGCAACGCTGTTGGACCTCTTTGCAAAGGAGCTGGCGATGCTTGCAACGCTGAGCTTCCGCATCATTGTACTGGCTGAACTTCGGACCAAGTGTTCAGAGCGAGATCGACCAGTCATACCGGGGAACGGAAGAAAATCTCGGCTCCAGACATCAGACATGAGAGCTTCAAGTCGAGCTCTCTCACCTCGTGGAGGCGCAATAATTGGAACGCGAGGATTTGTTGTGAGCAGTGATTGCGAGCGATTGATAGATGTTGTGGATGCAGCATCTGAACTGTCTCGCATAACACTGGTATTCTTCAGAATCACTTGACACAGGGGTGATTTTGGGCCAACTGTGGTAGCGCGATGAATCGATATCCGACGGGCAACAGT